TCTGTGCTGACGCGCACCAGACAACTATCATACAAATCTGTACGATGTTTTGTGCATCCTCCACTTCCCTCGTTGCTGTTCTTGTGGTCCTAACCCTTTATGGGCCAACATCCACAATTTTATGCCATGTGGGCTAAAGACATTACGAGATTAGTGAATGCTACATCAATTGAAATTGGCATGACCTTCCTTTACACCATCGCTGCACGAAGACAGCCAAAACAGGTTGAATAAACACAAATCTAGCTTTTGAAGGAACATATCCTTCAGCGAGATGCCAGAGCCCGCGATTTTAGTGGCAGCATAAGACCTGTACACGAATAGAGCACGAGCTATCGAATCCCCAAAAACAATTATTAAACTTTCAAATCTAAATTGGGAGAGAATAATTCCTAGATTTAGAACTATATCAGAAGAGTAGATATAGAACTAGACCGAGAAAAAAAAGTTCCCACATCTAAATCGGGAGAGAAGAAAAAATAAGAAAATAAGAAGAAAACTCGAACAAAATCAACAAGAGAGAGAGAGGGGAGGGTGCCCATGGCTGAAGATTGAATCTAGGCGTGCACCACCAACTCGCAATGCCGTAGTTATTGGAAAAGGAATTTCCGGCGTGTGCTCATCACTGAATATGAGATCCAATGATCAGCCGCCGATTATTTTGCTAGACAGATCCGTTCTTATGGTACGAGTGTGTGCTTAACTCTATCGATGCTCCGTTGATCCTTCCTATTTTCTAGATTTGGCTTTGTTTTGGCATATTCAGAGCTTTGCTGTGCTTAGATTTTCTTTGCCATGAAAGTTTTATGTACTTTTCATGTATCTTTTTGAACAAGAAATACAATTTTCTTTCGACAAAAAAAATTGACAACAAAATTGCAGTATTCCTCAGCCTTCTTGGTGTCCTCCTTACCTTTTTACAATAGATTTCAAGTTGCATCTCTCGTCCGCACAAAATTTATCAGATGGCCGTTTTATCCACCAAAAAGAAAATTTCAGTATCCAACCCAAACCCTCTCCACTAGCTCAAGAGGCTTGCTCGATCCGACACCCCCACCACCACGTCTCTCTTCCTCCACCGTTTCCGCGCCTCTATAGTTCCTTTCAGAGGCCGCTGCCAACCTCAGATCTAAGGCCAATGACGGTCGCCGGGCCAGCTCAAGGCTAGATTGACCTCGATCTAGAGGCCATGGTTAAGATCTATTAGAGGGCTCATTGAAAGAGCTGTACTGAAAGGTGTGAAAACAAGCAAAGTGTTACGAAAATCAGCCGTGGAAGAGGTGGAATGGATCTACAGGAAACGTGCGAAGGAGCTAAAAATAAAGAGAGAACGCATGTGCAATGTCCAATACATCATTTGGCACGATCTCCTTAATAGCAGCAAAGATCAGGCAACACATTTGACTTTAAGCACTCCATTTTCCATGGGTCAACCATCATGGCCTGCATGCATTTTCTCCTTTTGCATTCCACACGCCATCATACGTTGGGAAGGATGTTATCTAATTGCATAATGCCCCGATCCTACCTTTGGAGTGTTGACCATGAAAAGGGTTTCATCGTTCTGAAATATGAATTCTGAAATATTGAACCTCACGTTCTTTCGGTATTTTAAACTTCAAAACAATCGATAGAGATTCCATGAAAATTCTTAGATCTTAAAAGTTAAGCAAAGTTTTAGATTATTAGAAGAATCCTCTCAGATGTTTCATTCATTATTTCCTTTTTTAATTGGGATGAAAAGAAGCTTAGTTCCCATTTTCGATACCATTCCCAGTTCACCGTACCATCACAACGGAAATTCACGACGAGAATGACTACTTCTTGCGAACTAATCTAGTCGTCTTAACTCTACGTCCCCCCGATCCCGGTTGAAGACACACCGCCCGCACTAGGGAGTATAGGGCTAGGAGAACGACGATTACATCCGCTCTTTACCCAGTAAGAAAGGGATTCCTTCCCGTAGGAGCAGTTACGAGGATCTCCACCGAGATTCACCCGGTCCTTATGAAGCTAACACTCGAGATGCTCGATGTTATTAGGTTGTTAGTCTGCAAGGGAAGGCAAATCAAGTCAATGAGAATTTGCCATTGCAATCAAGGCTCTCCCTAACTAAAAGCTTCGACGATGGCCACGATCCGTTCTCGGGGGATCGCATGGTGTGTGGAGAGGCACGAACCGATGTAAGAACGCAACGGACCGGCGATGCATAACGCGAGGATTAAGACGCACTCTTCTCCAAAAGCCCTTTCATTTACTCGATTCGTACGTTCGCTAATTGCCGTACGCGAGACCCAAAGTTGCTCCATTCAATTCTTGATCAGACTTCGAACTCGAGAGCCAGTCAACTCGTCCACCACGTGAAAAACCCTCCGACAGCATCATCTTCCCCACGCAACCTCCACGATTTTGTAAGAATATTCTTCAATCGGAGTGGATTTTTAATTTCATTACCTACACAGTCCTAATTTTTATAGAGGTGGAGTTGGTATGCATGGCAATATTGTCTTCTTCGATTGTATTTTTAGAACATGGAACATTATACTTTTTCTGAATTCGGAAAATATAATGTGATCTCGATATGAGATGTAAAAACTAATTAATGGTATCATTTGGATGAGATACGAAAGAAGGAACGGACCCTTGGGTAATCATGGAATTCGGGCTCTTCCAATTGGCCCATCCCCATAATGTGGGGTGTCAGACCCCGACCAAGGGACTAATGAGATGTGCAATGCTCATGCTATGCCCATCCCGGACCGTTCGTCATGCCTTGAATGAACAGCTTTCTTATCGTCATTCCGGTGACATTTTTATAGTGTATTTAATATCTTAAAAGATAATAAAATGTACCGATTGAACAAAGTCAAAAAGTTTTTCTCTCCCTCTCTCTTCTCTCTCTATTGCTTTCTTCAAGTTTCAGCTATAGGGGAGGGTTTGAGCTAATCTCACCATCCTCTCCTGTTGATTTTGTTTGAGTCTTTTTGTTCTTTTCTTGTTTTCCTAATCTATATTTGGGAGCTCTCTTCTTCCGATTTAATTCTAGATCTAAGAGTTTGAACTCTTCTGATTTAGTTATAGAATTATGAGCTTTTCTCTCCCGATTTAGATTTAAGAGTTTAATAATATTTTATGGGATTCGATAGCTCGCGTTTTGTCCGTGTACATGTCTTCTACCACCAGTTTCAACGATGATCGGAAGAGTTTTGGTGTCTTGATGAACCACGAAGATTTGCTCTTCAAAAAGTCGCATATGTATTTTTTCAAACCGTTTTGGTTGTCTCCGTATAGCGTAGTGTAGAGAAAGCCGAACCTAAGCGTACGCCGTCAATTGACAATGCCAAATATCTTAAGGTTAATACCACGAAAAACCCTAAACTGATACAACTGTGACAATTTTACCCCAAACTATTTTTTTTACCAGAAAAAATCCAAAACTGGTACACCTGTGATAAATTTACCCCGAATTATTTTTTTGACTATAAAAAATCCCAAACTGGTATACTTGTGACAATTTTACCCCGAGCAAATTTTTTAATACTATTTTTTCGAATTTTTTAAATAATTTTTTTTATTTTTTCTTTTATTTTCTTTTTTTTTCTTTTTTTCCTTCATCTTCAATCTCTGACCGGTCGCCGAATCGGCGATTGGCCAGAGGCGGAAGCCGGCGAGGTCGACCTCGTCGGCCGCTGGCGAGGCTCGACCTTGCCGTTGTAGGGCGAGGCCGACCTCGCCGTTGCAGGGCGAGGCTGACCTCACCAGATCTAGCGAGGGCTTTGCCCCACCGGCCGCTGGTGAGGCCGATCTCACCGGCGCTGGGCGAAACCGACCTCGCTAGTTGCCGGCGAGTTCGAGCCTCACCAGATCTGGCGAGGGCTCGGTCCCTCCGGCAACTGGCGAGGTCGGCCTCGCCCAGCAACGACGAGGTCGAGCCTCGCCAGCAGCCAGTGGGGCCGACCTCGCCGGCTTCAGCCTCTGGCCAGTAGCCGGTCCGGCAACCGGCCAGAGGTTGAAGATGAAGGAAAAAAAAGAAAATAAAAAATAAAAAAATTTAGTAAAAAAATTCGAAAAAATAATATTAAAAATTTAGTTCGAGGTAAAATTGTCACAAGTATACCAGTTTGGGATTTTTGGTGGTCAAAAAAATATTTCGGGATAAATTTATCACAGGTGTACCAGTTTGAGGCTTTTTGTGGTTAAAAAAATAGTTTGGGGTAAAATAGTCACGGCCATACCAGTTTGGGGTTTTTCGTGGTATTAACCCAATATCTTACATGTTCTCATCACTGATGATGATACAAGTTCCAATGATTGGCCGCTGATTATTTTGCTTGATAGATCTGTTTTTATGGAACAAGTGTGAGCTTAACTCTACAGGTGCTCTATTAATCATTCTTGTTATTTGGATTTTAGCCTTATTTTGTTGCATTCTAGGCTTTGCTCTGCTTCGATTTGCTTTCTCATGAAAGTTTATGTACTTCTCATATATCTTTTTAAGCAATGAATACAATTATCAAGAAAGTGCGAGAATGTAAATCATACTTTCCGGTAGAAATTAGAGAACAAGAGAGGGTTTAAATAAGGGCTCGCGAATTTCCCGAGGTAATGAAATTAGAAAACCTCCATGTCGACAATATTAACCGCGAATGTTATGAGATTTAAAATTTTAATGAAAGTTACTATTGGGAAGGTAGGCCGATGACCTAACGCGTACGAGCCATTAAACAGGCCATATTGAAGACCGAATTAAAGAGAAAAAAAGGGAGATTAGGCGAGCCGTGTTGTGGTAGCCCTTAGGCTGACCCGACGGCGACTCGTAACGGGGATCGTCACGTGTCGGCCCACAGCGCGCGACACGAAGAGTCCACTGCCATGTTTCAAAACTCGCAAAGCTTGATCAATTTCATGGGACCAATCTCTATTCCCTAGTCCAAAGCCCCGCAAACGAGAGCACGATCGGACGGATGGCGCATGAGTACGGAAAAAATAAAAAAGGCGCAAAAGGCAAAATAGAAGTTGGAAAGAATGGGAAGGAAGGAGAGGCTGCTGCTTTTCGAAGGGTTTTTTGAGTTGAACGGGTCGTCTTCCCCATACAACTTCAGACACGTTCGCCATTTAAAGCCACCACTCATGCCGATCTCTGCGCCCCTCCCTCACATGCCCTTCCCCATTTAAATTCCCCCGCACACGCCCTCTCTCTCATTCGCGGACGCACACACACGTTCTGCCCCTGCCTCTTCCCCTGCCTCGGCCTCCTGCCTCTGTTCCCCTGCCTCTGATCCTCTGCATCGAGATCGACACAAATGGCGGGCTCAGCAGCAGCCGCGGCAGCGAAGCCCACCCCGCTGCTCAAGGACGAGCTGGACATCGTGATCCCCACCATCAGGAACCTCGACTTCCTGGAGATGTGGAGGCCCTTCTTCGAGCCGTACCACCTCATCATCGTCCAGGACGGCGACCCCTCCAAGATCATCAAGGTCCCCGACGGCTTCGACTACGAGCTCTACAACCGCAACGACATCAACAAGATCCTGGGCCCCAAGGCCTCCTGCATCTCCTTCAAGGACTCCGCCTGCCGCTGCTTCGGCTACATGGTCTCCAAGAAGAAGTACATCTACACCATCGACGACGATTGCTTCGTGAGTGACCCTCCCTCTTCTTTTCTCTGCCCGTTCCAATCTGAATTTCCTTACCCTTTTTTGCGGTTGCTGTTGGGTTTCCTTCTCCTTCGACTGTGTTGGCTGCATTGTTGCGATTCTCGGTCTTGTGATTGTTTGGGCTTCGCCTGTTACTTGTGTGTGTGTGTGTGTGGAGATGAAGCCGTGTACTTGATCTGCATTGCAGTCCATCACTTGGCGGACTTTTGTTTAAGACTAGATTTTGATCTTCACTAGGCGACAATTTTTTCCTAGACTCGGTTTGCAGCAATCGGAACTAGTGGGTCCGATGTCGTCAGATGGCTGGGATCCCTCGATCAATCTGAATTATCATTACTCTGCACACTCTAGGCATTCTAATTGTATATGCAAGACTAGAGATCTGAATCCTTCTCTTTTCAGAACATGAATCATAGTTCCCTAACCTTGTTCCCCAGGCCTTTGGAAGCAGAACCGTGTCTCTCTTGACTTTCCTTATGAAACTTTAGTCGTGGCATCTCGATTATGCAGTCTCATTGCTTGTCATATGATGAATTAAATTAAGGAGTTGACTTGTGGAAGCCACCATTCACTGATTTAGGGAGTCGGCCTTTTTCCGAGGAGTTTGAATTTAATATCCCATAAGTCGTTGTAACTCGCACATTATATCTTCTCTCTGTTCCGATGCAAGATGACAAATATTTAAGAATCTTTCCCCTAATTATACCTGCTCGATGCCCTGTTGCTTCTGAGTTGTGACTGTAGGATCAAAGTAAGATGCCTTCTGATTATTGTCTTGGTCAAGATTGATTATGAAGGCTTGGTCCTATCTGCTTTATTTGTCCCGTGGTCAATCTAGTCAACCCTAGAGCGGTTCAGTGGTGTGATGTTCTTGCACTCATGATTAGGTACCTATCTGCACATTGAGTAAGAAAGCCTCTATGTGTCGGTACACATTATAGTTTGAACAGGAGGTCACTCTTTCAATGTGAAGATGACATTTTTTTTTCCTGGTCTTGTTTGTTATATCAGGTCGCTAAGGACCCATCAGGCAAAATGATCAATGCCCTCCAGCAGCATATCAAGAACCTCCTCTGTCCATCCACTCCCTTTTTCTTCAACACGCTGTATGACCCTTACACGGAAGGTGCAGATTTCGTCCGTGGATACCCTTTCAGTCTGCGTGAGGGTGTACCGACTGCGGTCTCTCATGGCCTCTGGCTCAACATCCCGGATTATGATGCACCTACACAGCTCGTGAAGCCTCTTGAAAGGAACCAAAGGTATATACGAATCCTCCAGCTCGTTCTGCCGGCTTGTTCATGAATCTTTGTTAATAACAACTAAGAGAATGTTCCACTAGGTATGTTGATGCGGTCTTGACAATACCGAAGGGCACTCTTTTCCCTATGTGTGGCATGAATTTGGCATTCGACCGTGAGCTTATTGGCCCTGCAATGTACTTTGGACTGATGGGTGACGGCCAGCCAATTGGCCGATATGATGATATGTGGGCTGGCTGGTGCGTCAAGGTAAGCTTCCCTTTCTTTGCTCCATCAGTTTTAGATTCCTTTGTATTTGAATTGATCCTGTTATATGATTGAGGCTTGATGGCCCAATGCAATGCTTATGATTGGCACTAGATGTTAAGCACAATTTGCCCAAACCATGGGATGAAGCACCTCTTCATGAGATTATCATAACAAACTTGCAGCCAGATCTCATAATATGAACCCCTATTGCTCTGTATTAAATAGGTTGCTGATTTGACTAACTTGCACTTGCTCAATGTCGTTATTTCTTCGTCAAAATTCATAACATGCTCATTAAGAGGCTCTCTACTGTTTAACTGCGACCCTGTAGATTTCCCATAGAATTTACAATGCCACAGGCGTCAATCCTTCGATAATTACTGAAGTATCTGCTCAATGTCATCACTTTTTATGTAATGGTCCTCATTTGGATCAGGAGAGGACCTCACCGATTCGGAGTTAACATGATGCAACGGTACTTTTCACAGGTCATCTGTGATCATCTGGGACTGGGAGTGAAGACCGGCCTGCCCTACATATGGCACAGCAAAGCCAGCAACCCATTTGTGAACCTGAGGAAGGAGTACAAAGGCATCTTCTGGCAGGAAGAGATCATCCCGTTCTTCCAGTCTGCGGCTCTTCCCAAGGACTGTACCACGGTCCAGAAATGCTATATCGAGCTCTCCAAGCAAGTCAAGGACAAGCTCAGCAAGGTCGATCCTTACTTCGACAAGCTCGCAGATGCTATGGTCACTTGGATTGAGGCCTGGGACGAGCTCAACCCGCCAGCTGGAGCCGCCGCCAAGGCGCCGAGCGGCAAGGCCAAATGAGGAAGTTTCGTACTTCGAGGGATACATTAGCTCCTTAAATTTTCCAATCTGAGAATTCACTCCGAAGAGCCATTACCATTACAGCTCTTTGTTCCTTCTTTTTCTCTCTTTAAACTTAATTTCCGAGACTATCACATATATTAGGCTTGTTTCCCGGGCTTTCCTTCTACTTGTCGGATGTTGTACAACAATAAAACAATGAATCTTCTAATGGAAATAGCCATTCTCTTGGCTCTTTGCCTATTGAGTTTTGGTGTGCATCAAATGAAAGATTGGATAGCAAACTACCAAACGGACAAAAGGGTCTTCAATCATGGCCTTTCTCACGGGGGAAAAAGTAAAGAACAATTGGATCTTGAATTGACTTTTGTGCTTATCTTTTCGAAATTCTGAGGCATAAAATAAAATTGGCGTTTGCTTCTAGACTTGCCTGCTTTGGCCTACTTTGGCCTACTTTGGTTGTCCTATTCCTCGACTTTAGTATTAGCTTGGCTTCATGTGATTGAGCTCCATCGCAAACGGAATGCGTTAGGGGCTGCCAATTTTGAGATCAAGTTAACAAGAAAATTCGTTAGGAAATCAATTAAAAACCATCCCAAATTGTCTTAGCTATTCTCATAATTACACACAACTTCAAAAGTAACAGGACAAAAAGAATTATAGAAATAGAGTCATGGACCTAACAACTCCATGCAGACACCGCCAGAAGCGGTCGTTCATGCCAACAGATCATGGTACAAGCCCTCTCGGTCACGGCTTTGTAGCCATCTCGAAGATGGGGCTCGACCATGCCGTTGGCATCCTCCATGGCGTTCAGCCACAGCCGGACCGGCCTGAACCCGGCTCGGGTGAGCCTCACCTTCCACCTCTCGTGCCTCTCGTGCCTCTCCTCCCTCTCCAAGCCCTCGCACGAGATGATGTTCCCGATCTCCCTCCCGAACATCTCCTCCAGGGCGAGCCGCTCCTCTGAGCAGCTGCCTCCGAAGGCGGCATCTATCGAATCGAACACTGCGCTGTAATAGTGTAGGCCCTCGACGAACCGGTCGACCAAGCGGGTTGTGTTGTGGTTGGCTTCTTGCTCGACCAGGAAGAAGACTCTCGGCGACACCGACCGGACCATGCTTAGGAACTCGCCGAGTCGCTTGCAATCCTTGACGGAATCACTCTTGATCATGCCAAAGTGTGCATCTACTCTATCATCTTCGGCTAATAGAGCATGGAGGCCCAACATTGACACCATTGCCAATGCCTCTCCTGATCTCAGTTGGAGCATTTCTTCGGTCAGCTCTCTTAAAGACACGTTCACAGGGTTGAATTGAAAGGGCATGCGCATGGTCTCAGCCTCTTTGACAAGGGCATGACCCAAAATGTCCAAAACATCTCTTTTAGCGGACACACAAGTCAACCTCAATTGAGCAGGCCCATCTGGCCCTTGGTTTAGGCTCCTGAGGAAAGGAACCCACAATTTAGGGTCGCCGGAGCCCAGATCCATGACGTGAACCACTCGTTCCCCGGCCAGGACTCGGAGCAAGGCTCGGGCTATGATGACGTGGGCGAAAGCGAGGCATGGGAAGGCCGGCATGAGGATGGGTTGGGCCCGAGGGGCTATGAGCCTATCCGGTTTGGTGTGGTTCAACGCTCTGTAGAGGCCCGGCCAGCGCTTGACGACGCGGACCGCGAGGGCATAGGCGAACCGGGCGGCGAGGCGCTGCATGGAGTCGCCAGTCACTGAGGAGAGGTCCGATATCTGCCGGAGGTGGGCGTCGGCCCGGTGGAGGTTGCTCGACGACGCGTTCTTGGCGCACGATAGGAGGAGCCGGATGAGATGCAAGCCTCTCTCTTCGGGCTTGAAGGTCTCGTGGGTTGGGGATGGCAAGGTGAGGCTCAAGGTCACATCAGGCTTCGCTGAGGATGAAGAAGAACTCATCTGGCTAAGCATTGTATGTGAAGTAGCTAGGTCTAGATGCCAATGTACAGCTCGTAGAAGGAACTTAAGATGGTGCTAAGGATCTTTGAAAACTTATAGAGGAATCAAATGTGAAGGAGGGCCAAGTGGGCATGAGACAAAAGGAGGATGCATTTGGAGGTTCGCTAGTATCTCCAAGTGAATCAAACAAAATAAATTTCCATTTAAATGCGGTCCTTTGGCTCTATTATATGGTTGTAGGCCAAAACAATATGAAGTGGGGTTTGAATAGTACGTGCCCAATTACGTGCAAATTACGTGAATGCTTTCTAAGCACGCACGATTGTGTACTTTGCATCAGATAGTCACATATGTCACCTGTTACCGCAAACTGAGAACAAAAATTTAATTAGATGATCGAGCGCTGTAACCCACATCTGCGGAACGAAAGAAATTTTGTTCGATTGCGAGTTGTCGGCTCTAAGCCATTCCTTCGATCTCCGGAAGTCGAGAGCACAGGATTCGACTCAATTGACTACACAAATGCGATATGATCCGAATTCGCTACGAATCATCGAATCGTCTTATTAACCGTTCGTAACGACATCCCTCTCTCTATTTAAAATAGTGGACCTTGATTTAGTAATGTAGTATTCCGGTGGAAAATGTTGTCACACCACATGGTCGCACGCAATTGATGTCTCGAATGGTTTTCATTTTTTGTGAATGTCGTAGGTTCGACCGGGTCGGTTCCATCCCCCATTGCAAGCCCCGTCAGCCTCAACCGCTGAGGTGGCGTCCGACTCGTTTGTCCTCGGCGATGCTTCTCGCGAGATAAACCTTGGCCGATCGAGCCAAACTCCACGTGACTAACTAAAAAGAATACAGAATTAGGTGATTGTTGACCCAAAAAAAGGGGCAAAAGAATACTATGAAATGGCTCCAAGATTGTGAAAGGAGGAGCATGAAATCAAAGCCCTATTGGAAAAGTCGGAGGAGAATGCGAGCAAGAAGTCACCGTCGTACATGGAGCACGAACGAGACCCGCGTGATCCGGAGCCCAGATATGTCGCGTGCGCATGCATCTATCTAATACCCGTGATATGGGTATTCAATTTTAGGCGGATCAATCTAGTGTCGCGGCCCAAGTTGGCTTATCAGACCGTCGGCTATGAATTTCTGTACCATGTTTTGGCACAAGTAATATAACCTTTGGACCAAACTTTACACAAAACAGTGAATGCATAGTTACGCTGAGTACGACTCAATGGCTTTCTTTGGTTAATCCATGGGTGCTTTGAGCTTAGAGCCCGTTCTGAAGCCCGGCCTTTCACTTGGACTTTTGCCAGTGGACTCCAAATTGCTAAGCTCCCAAGCAAGCCTGAGAAATGTAAAAGGACGTGCACGAGCAAAGTTTTCTAGGTGTGATACTCTGATCTTCATCTCGATAGGATGCCTATTGATCAAGTATGGCGCGCTCCATCTAAAACCGAAAAGATAGAGACATCACCGATCATAAGGCTACGTTTGATCGTCGGGACAAGAATTGGGATAAGATAGGATAATATGGGATATAAAAGTCTTTGGATAGTAGAGTGAACATATCTAATTCTATCAAGTCTTTGGTATGCCTCGGGAGAAGATGGAAATTTATGGCCTTCACCACTCTCATCTTCAAGAGCCTCCATTTCGTCTTCTGTCTCTCTCATTTGATCGATCATCCGACCACATGCTTATATTGTTTGATGTGATTGTAATGTTGAGATCACTAGAGAACCCTAATCGCAGTAGAAGGATGTTGATTTGAGGGATAAAAAATGAAGGACATGGGGATTCTTTCCCAAAGATAGTGATTTCTTTTTCCTTTCTGGGTTTCTTTCTCTGAAACTAGAACAAGCAAGACACCCATAACCTTGAAACTCTCGAAATTCCAATTCCAAATGATGCTCGTTCTCTCCTCCTTTCTCTTTTCACCTGCACATACTTCATTTCATCATCCCCACAAAAGTCAGTCATCATCCTTCACCTGCTAGCCCCAACCAACCAGCTCTCACCATCCAAATCACCAGCACCACATCAAACGACCCTTGCCTGCGACCGACGAAGGTTGCCAGCCCTTGCCCAGGCCGCATCGGCTCTCCCCGGCACCGTCGAGGGTTCCCGACCTTTACCTAGGCCCAGTGGCCCTCACCAGCCTTTGCCAAGCCCTTGGCCATTTTCTCTCTCATTTCACCACCGTTGAATGAAGGTGGAATGTCGCACTAGTTTTCTATTGTGGAGCACATATTCTATCTGGCTTTATCCCAACCTCTAGGTGGAATTTTTTTTATCCGATTCATATCCGGACACATCCGGATTTCGTGGTACCCCGAACACCGGATAGGATAAAAGTAATCATATCCAGAATTATATCCAGCCCACCAAACACAACCCTAAAGAGGCTGTATTTTGATGAAAAAACATGAGTGCACCCAAAATGCACGCACTGCATACATTAAGATAGTGTCATGTGAGTTACACTTGCGACCCGCAAAAGTTCAAGTATTGATCTTGTGACGGGTGCCGATCTACGTTGTACACCTAATAATCTCTCATTTTGATAGAGTTATGTCTTCCTACTCTAATCTCATCTATCATCTTTGTGATAAGATCGAATACACGTCCGACTGCTGACTCTACTCTCACCTCACCTTATCCATCTGACGCCGACAAACATCGACGGTATGCAATGGATCAACCTCAAATCACATTTATGTCGTTAGTAATCTTTATCGTCGCGGTCATCAATGCTGTACTCCCAAATGAAAATGAGAATTGTTAGGGATATTAAGGTTAATAACTTAGTCTAAATCAAGTACGAGATAAATGCGTCAAACATCTGCCTCTATCTACCGTGACTAGACAAGGACAAACGCCACGCATAGACAAAAGAAAAATCACGAAAAAAGTTAAGATTGTGGGGTGTTGAGTGTGTTTGTGCTGGCTTGTTTAGACCAGGGAAAGCCACGATCGTGAACCAGAAAGATACGCAAAAAAGTTTGGACTAATTTTTGCGGTTGAACACATCCCACGTAACTTGTCTTGTTATATGATTTTTAATGCCAAATGGGTCTTCATTCTTGATGGTCGCACATTGCCTAGAGAAATCAATTAAATAAAATGCGCAGGTGTGCACGAGTGAGAGGTATGAGTGCAAAGGGAAAAGGAAAAAAGAGAGAATGCTGAGAACATACCCGTTTCAGAGTTAAATAATATCTTTTTTGTCAAAACTATCCGACTGTAATAAAAGCTTAAACTATTAGGTGGAGGGACACCACATATATATAAAGATCTATTAGGTAGAGGGACACCACATGTATATAAAGAGCATATAAGACCAGTTGTCAAGCGATGTGGAATAATTTAACACCTCCTCTCACATGCAAGCCAAATTAGGAGTGACATGTGGAATTTAATTAATGGGGGTGGGCACACATGCAAACCCGATAGCTCGAATCTCTGATACCACTACCAACTATTCTAAAAACTTAATCTTTTGGATTAGGCTTTCTAACGTGGGGTTGAGATGAGAAGAGTGCATAAAATATCAAAGATGTGCCTATATTTACGCTCTAATCGATCATTTTGTTGAGTAATTCCTGGAGATGAATAATAATACCATTTTGAAAAAGAACTCCGAGAAACTTTGTATCTTGATATTCCACAGCGTTATCAGTATAAAAAATATTCATAAGAAAGTTGTGTTTTGATCATAGCAACAAAATGATGATAACTATGAGCAAGTTCATATATGTTTTTCATAAGATAAAGCCAAATATAACGAGAATGATCATCAACAAAAATCACAAAATAGCGAGATCCTCCCATAGTTGAAGTAGGAGATGGTCTCCGAATATTAGAATGAATTAGAGCAAGGGGAGCATAAGAGACGGATTCACTAAGATCAAATAGTAAAGTCTGATGTTTTCCCAACTTAAATGGCAAGCAATCAAAATGTTTATTGCCAACGGAACCCAAATAACCACTTGAAATGAGAGGGCTTAACGTAGAAAAAGAAGCATGACTCAGTCGAGAATGCCAATTTTCAAATCATACTATGACAACACTACTGACAAAGGAGTTCGGAAGTTTTAAAGAGATAAGGTCGAATCGGGTGTCCCACTTTACGACATGTCCCAATTATCTATCCCGCCCATGAATCCTGCTCACAACAACCATTAGAGACCACGTGTATATATTCTTTCACACTAACTCACAGTCGAATCCTAATCTACAAAGCACAAACCCCCCCAACCACTAGTTTAACCGCCACAACCCCCACTAATGCCACCAAGGTCTCCGACCACTCGCCTCACCGTCAAGGTCTCTAGCTACTTGCCCCACTGCCCTCGCCGCCTCCCATGCCCTGAAGAAGCCATCCGACCGATTAGTCATCCATGTGCTCCGTCGACCACTCTCGTTCTCTCGCACAGAGGCGTGGCGCCACGCCTGGGGGCCTCCATTCAAGTTCGCCTATGGTGTCGCCTCGATTTCATGTGGCGATGGCCGCGACGACCTCGATCGAAGGTCGCAATGGCTACATCGTTGACAGGCCATCACTCACTAGGAGAGAGCGAAAGAGAGATGGCTTGAAGGAAGAGAGAAGGGGGGCTAAGACAGTGAAATGGGTTTTGCCAACGGAGGAATCCGAGATGGCGAGGGCAGTGCATGGCAGAGGGAAAGCATGGTGGCAGGCTTGTTTTGAGAGTTCAGGTCTGTGGGTGGTGTATGGTAAGGGTTTGGGGAATTTTTACTCCAAGGAGAGAGGGTATTTCACTCCTTTTAGTTGGACTAAGGTTTCATTTCTAAAACAGAGAGAAATGTTTTTGGCATCGGGCTAAAAGGTCGTGTACGTTTTTGGTAATTTTTCCCCGAAAAGAAAAAATACCAACCCATAGAATTGGAAAACTGTGCAACTAAAATGATCAATTAGTAAATTCGATTGATTCGTGAAAGTTTTGAGACTTTGGAGCGAAACTGAATTGATTAGATTTGTTATTTGTTTGTTAGTTGATCTACCATTCGTGCTTCCCTCTCGTGATCGATAATCTCCCATTGTGAATAATCGTGCGTACTCCAACACCGTGCCCTAGTGCGCATGCACGTGTGGTGGTCTCAATGTCATTTATCTGCTGACCATATTGATTGATTCTTGATTGCTCTTGTATCTCAAATTTAATGACCATTTGATTGCAAATTTAATCAGTGAGGCTAATTATTGTTAACTAAGAAGAGTCTTATCATAGCAGAGGAATTCAAGGGTATTTGAAGGTGGGGGTGTTGTTCATACTCCCTATAGATAGGAAGGCACCGGGGGTCCCGCTCCGCCGGTGAGGGGGTAAGGGTCCGAGGGGGCCACTCCGGCCGGGGGTAGCGGCGCAAAGCTGCCAAGCCACCAGAGAGCTTTTATAATTTTAGCCCGTATTTTATTGATACTTTAGGCTTTGGCTCATAAATAACTGTTGTTTATATATAATCTATTTATCTTGTAATTAAGAGTTGTAATAGAGAGGTGAAGACGTTAATTATATTGGAATCATTTACTGGATGTAGCCCTAGTTTAAGGGTGAACTAGGATAAACCTTTTGTCTCAATTTCTTTTTCTCACATTTACTTTCTATTTCGTTGTATTTGTGCGTCTAATCCTGACATGGATTTTAATTAGCTGCCAAGTGTTCAACCTTACAAAACTACTTCAATTCTTGTAAAAATAATTCGCGACGACATTAAATATCGATTTCCCTATAAACTTAAGTATTTTGAGGACTTCAATGTCGAATATTAGTTATATTCCAAACACTCGAGGGCAATTAATAGAGCATAATTAAGATGCCTTTTATCTAAGTTGGAAAACAAAGCGCAACCCAATAAAACGTCAGAGGCCTTATCGATCTGGTGTCCAATTTAAGATTGGATTACTAAAACCAAAAAAAAACAAGGATCAATGTTTTCATATTTGGAACGAGATTGTTTGCTCTTAGTTGGAATCTGTTGGTAGGAGATTTGCAGCGGAATGATGCTACTTATGTTGATTTTTTCGGTAACTCAGGCGGTCTTGCCCTCTGGCCGTAGCTTGTGCTATCCCAACTTATTCAACGAGTTGCTTTGAATATCCTAAGAGATGGTGTGGTGAAGTAGTATGGGCTGACGGCAAGATTCTGGTGGCGTCAGAGAGGTGAGGAAGGTAGAATGCATTGGAAAAGTTGGCATTCTTTGACTAAGTCCAAATCTGTTTTATCTTTCCTACCTAAGCTTTGTTGACTGAACAAGCTTGGTGAGTGCTTCTGAATCACAAGGCTTCTCCGGGTTGAAGTGCTAGAAGGCCTGTACTTCCCAAATGGTGTTTTTCATGGGAGCAGGAAGAGGGGCCAGGAGATCTTGGGGGTGGAGCAGTATCCTAGACGGTAGAGAGTGTCTGGAAAAAGGGATTAATGTGGCGAATAGGTGATGGAGAAAGCATTAAAGTGGGGCAAGACGTTTGGATACCTGGGACTAATGACTATGAGCTGCCCCTCAAAAGAAACTGAAGGTGTTGATGAAGAGCTTGAAGTGGCCAATTTAATCAGTAAAGACTTGAGATCCCGGGAGCTCAGCGAGATAAGCCAGCCTCTGGAAAGAGTAGAATTGGAGGCTACACAAAGGATTCTGTTATAAGTTTGAGGTGGTGATGATAAGTTGGTCTGGTCTGCAGAGAGGAGGAGAATTACTACTGTCAAGACTGCTCACAATCTGTTGAAAAACACAGAGGAAAAAGCTAGAAATTAGGGCCCTTCCTCAGCTCATATTATAGGGGGATGTGCTCTGGAAGGTCTTGTGGATTGCCGACCATGTGCCAAAGATTAATCATTTCATTTGGACAGTGTCTGCCAATTTGCTAGCCGCTGCTATGAACATATGGAAGAGAGGACTCAGAGAATCCTCCCAGCAAGGTTGGCAAAAACCAGGTAGTGGAGTAGTCAAAATAAACCGTGACGGGGGGTTTTTCTACAAGAACCATGGAAGCTGGGCATTGGAGTAATAGCTCGTTAGCTCAGTTCTTGGAGGTACCACTAAGACAGTGGAAGCAGAATGTGCAGAAGTTGTTGAAGCTATTCCCATCAAGGAGGGACTGGCTGCCTGCCAAAAAAGAGGAGTGAAAGAATGTGGTGATTGAAACTGCTTCCAGCTTTGTCTATAAGGGGCCTCACTGATTGCTGCTCTCCTCTTAACTGAAAGAGTGAAGTGATTGTGAGGGATGTTCTTCACTTTACTAGTAATTTTGAGGAGTTTTCCTCTTTATGTAGCGAGGAGGAACTGTAATCAATGTGCTCATCGGCTAGTACAACCAAAGATAAGAGAGGATGTGTTTTGTTATTTGGGTGGAAACACCCCCAACCCTCTTTACTTGCTCTAATTTGGAAGAATAATTAGACTGATCCCCCTTGAGCGGGCTTACCAAATGAAATTGCATCTTCATTGCAAAAAAAAAAAAAAGATTTTTCTCTTAGAATTTGATTACTCAAAAGAAAAGAAAAAGAGAATTCTCGTACTAGGATTCTCATTCCTTGCAATACAATACAAAATGAACCAAACGAGGCTTAGCCATATACAACAAAAAACTTGCCTTAAACTCTGATTGTCGTCTAATCAGACACGTCTGAGTATGCCATGTTACACAAAAGTAACATATATATGCAAGACTTGAATCTCTTTATAATATATCTAAACAAAGAGGATCATTACTCATTTTTTTATGTTTTCAAGTATCTTTTCTTCGTTCTATCTTAGAATACTGCTATCCTAGATACTCATCTGGTTATTAGTTATTGAGAGAGAGAGAGAGAGAGAGAGAGAGAGAGAGAGAGAGAGAGAGAGAGATAGATATGTTGGTTGATGGAGGGTGTGTCAAGGGCGAAAGTCAGCGCGACCATTTGTGGAATGCATGGACTGACAAGAACTTGAGGAGGGAAATAGGGAGAGTAGGAATACTAACCGGAAAGATTATATTGGAATTTCGAGCAAAGATTTAGGACTAAATTAACTAAACTGGAAAGTTTAAGACTAAATTGACATCCATACAATAGGTTCATGACTGATTGGGTAGTTCTCCCGATCTAGACTAACCCAACTTTTTGCAACAAAAAGGAATTTGGTGATTCTCAACTTATGTATTGAACTCAAGCCACAAATGAATGAGCACAACATATAGGTTAACCACTGTGTCAACAACTGTGCCATGACAAATGAGCATAGAGATCTTATTTCATTGCGCTCACAATATCTCATGACTAATGAGCCTCTCATAGGGCCACAAGACAAGATACAACCCTAGAGATTTCTCATTGAGGTTGCTTTTCAGATTGCACTACAACTCAACTGATGCATGATTCCCTTTAAAGTAGTGGGATCACATTCCTTGTAATAACTAGATCCATCTAGAAGCCTTTTGTCGTATGTTTATGGGTGAATAGAACAATGAGTAGTTTCGCATAAAAAATGCTTCATTTCTGTGGCACTTCGATTGATCTCCTCTAATAATTAAACTATGCAAAAAAAATCAACCACTCTAAATCTTTTAGGAGTGATTTAGGACCCCCAAAATCAATCGGGTGAGCAATAATTTGGCCACACTTGGCACCCCAAAACGCCTCTCAAATAGCCTAATTTTGAACGAAAACTCCAGAAGGCAAAGACCCATCATAATGCTTTGCCATATAATAAGCAAAAACTATCTTTTCGTGCACTATCAAAATCAAGCATTTTCTTGCAATGATGTTCCAACTTTATACCAAGTCTTGAAGTCTCCCCCCAACATCTTTTCCCCATGGAAGTAGACCTCTTGTGCTTAACAACATAGTTTAATCACCTGTCCTTACCTATTTATGGGCATCCACACAATTAAAAAATTACCTAACATTCCAAGAATGCTACTCACACTCACTCCTTGAGGCCACGTGTAGACCTGGTGAGTCACCGAACTCGTCACCTTTAACATATTATATCACCCCATTACCCCTTAAAGGAATGCTAGAACCTTCCCTCTGCCTAATATTTTAAAAGGGGGATCGGCATATGATATGACAATCTCAAAAAAGCATGGCATTTAAGATTAGTGTGTGTCAACAGATGGTGGGGAGCGATCGGAGCAAAAGCCACTTTCGAGGGAACATCAACAACCCACCAAGCAAATGTTTTCCGGCTGCATCAAGATTATATGCTTTGCTTAATTAGTTCGTGCGATTGCGCAATGTAGCTGAGATACGTGCAGTCGGGGGAACCTGTCGCTCGATTCATATCGAGTGATTGTCCTTCCCGAGCTCAATTCACACATGGTTAAGCAAAAGTATAAGTGTTGAGTGATTCGTGAATTCCTTTGTGGGTCGCAATAGATCTTACAAATCTTGAAATATGACCGACTTGATCTATCAAAATAAATCTAGGTGATATCTTATCGATCCACTGTAATTGAAAAACTCATTCACAGATAATTGAGTTTGTGGATAGGATTGCTTCTTTGAGATGCCATTGATGCTGACTCGAACAAGTAGGAAGAAAAAAAAGATGATGATGCTCTTCCTAATTACTAATACGACAAAAAGGGGTATCTTAAGTCCTTTTGAGCCACGACTATTGCTAATTACACGCACTATAATCGTTTCTTTATTATGACTATGCACAAGAGTTCAGTTTAGCCATGATATTACAAGCCCTACATGTTCCAATTTGATTGGACGAACAATCGAGCTGGTAAGCACCGCGTGGATCTAACATCTGGAAGAGAATTATAGGACGAGACGGATATGGATTTCGTAGTCCAAGAAAAGGGACACAAATTCGATTCAAAGATTTCTAGTGCTGGCTGAGATCAGCGACCCAAGCAGCAAATGAATAAAGAAATCGACGAGTGACCCGAAGAGGAAGGTTATATATATATAAGGGCATGGCGCTAGTTTGCATTGTCAGACAAATTGGGGACAAACGCACACAATCTCTCTCCAGCTTCACTGAAAATCTTGAAATCCAAGGAACAACAAAAGTTAGAAGAAGAAAAGAGGAGAGAGACGAAAAAAAGAAGGAAGAAGAAAATGGTGGGAATGATGGGATGGGGAAGCCAAGAGCAAGGATGGAGGAAAGGGCCATGGACGCCTGAGGAAGACAAGTTGCTCAGTGAGTATGTGGGATTGCATGGGGAAGGAAGATGGAGCTCCGTTGGCCGCTCTGCCGGTAAAATGTCTCGTTCATTTACTTCTCGCTTGTAAACATGGATCCTCTATCTCGCATGGTGTCTCCAGATATGCGTGTCGACAAATTTCAACCGTAGTTCCTTGCGAATGAGGTCTATTTTAAAATTCTACGACCGAATGTACCGGCAGCTGAGATATTGTTAGGACATGATGGCGTTGGACAAACAATCTAAGTCCTTTGCTTATGACCGTATGCCATGCACCCCCATGTGTAATATCCTGTCATCGCAAGCATTCGAATTCTCAAATAATGTTTCTATGGGTATTGAAATCTTTCGATTTTTCCCTTTTGTAACTAAGTTTATGCTTGATTGAGAGCTCCTGGTGTTTTTTAGCAGGATTGAACAGGAGTGGCAAGAGTTGCAGGCTGAGGTGGGTGAACTATCTCCGCCCGGGTCTCAAGAGAGGCCAAATCACGCCTCAAGAGGAGGGCATCATCATCGAGCTCCATGCTCTCTGGGGCAACAAGTATGTAATTCTCTTGATTTGAGTTGTCTTTGAGTGATTTTCATGCGCAATTTTCTAGATCCTAAGCATTGGATTTCTCTTAACCGGATAACAGGTGGTCGACCATAGCTCGATACTTGCCCGGACGGACCGACAACGAAATCAAGAACTACTGGCGAACTCACTTCAAGAAGAAGGACAAGTCCTCCCACAAAGGAGAAAAGCGAAGTCGGAGAGCTCAAAGTCTAAAGCAACACTTGAATCACCATCAACAACCACAACGGCAGCAACAAGAAGCACAAGCACAACCGGAGACCGTCTACGAGACAGAAAACATGCCCTCGTCCCTTCATGCAGAGCCAAATGAGCATCAGGAGAAAATTATGGAGGAGACGCGAGCGGCGAAAGAGGCAGTACCCATGCACGCCGCTGCCGAGGATCACTGCCCGCCTGCTCAAGAAGTCCCGTCCTGGGAGGACTTCGTCGGAGATCATGTGCTGTGGGGTGGACTTTGGAACTTTGACGACGTGCACGATCCCTTCGATCATCCAAGCAATTGCAACAAGATGGCCATGCAGAATCAAGCCTCAAGTGCGGGGTTTTCTTGTGATTTCCATGGTGGAGGATACTACATCTTCCAGGGAAATGTCGTCGACTTTTAGCTGTATTTGTGTCCTATACTCATAATTCTATACTTGGCATAAAAGTGTTTTTATCATCTTCCTTAGTTGAAGAGGATTAAAATAATTGGTTTCCTTTTCAAAATACTTATTATGTATCCGCTCCCTTAGCGATCTCTGGACGAAAATATTAAGTTTTTGTTGCGCGTTCCTGATACAGTAACTTCGAGTGTTTCCTTAATTTGTACGCATAAGATATTGCCACACACGAAGTACCAAAGAAGGGGCATCATTTGCTAGGCAATTCACTTACACCGAGAAAGTTAAAAAGAAGAAGAAATAGCACAAAGTTAAATATACGAAGTTTCATCTATTAATTAGTGTATTAAATACTAATAAACCTTTCATTAAATATTAAATTCGACTCACTTTTCTGAAAAGCTTTCATCGTGACACGTCATACCATTTGTCACTGAATTTGGACGGCACTCTATCCTGGCCGAACTAATTTTGATGCTCCTTGCTCAATCGAAACTGGGAAAAGGCTTCAACGGGAGATAAGGAATCCGCCCAGTCAGCGGTCGACACGTGGAGATCCATTTTAAGGTAATGGCGACGTTCGCCATGCTTCTCCCATAATACGCGCACGAAACGAGACCTCTGCAGGAATCCAACAATTTCAAAGCGCACATCTGCTGCTGCTCCTCCTCTTCCCCACGCGCGACCGGCAAGATCGTTGGCCCGCAGTCGCCACGTCAGCGGTCAACTTCGGGCTCCCCCCACCCCCCCCGCGTCACGCGCCGCTCCTGCGCGTGGCCGGAGCGATTTTTTTTTTTCTCATTTTTTTGCCATGCAGGGACACTGCAGGAGTGAAGAAGCAAAGAGGGAGAGCTTATACGAAACGGGAAAGAGAGAGGCAGCCACCCAACCGTAACTTCGATTCCCATATTTCCTCATTTTCAGCAGCTCTTTTCCTTTGTAGTTTGGAGGAAAACTCTGGTTAGGAAAAGGGGGGCCACTCGTCTGAGAGACCCAGTTTCGACAAGAAGATATAACCCTATGGAAAGAGATAGAAGAAAGGAAAAGAGAAAAGGACTCTCTCTCTCTGTGCACCTTTCGGGCTTGTCTTGTTAATCTTGATCTGGGAGTTCACTGCATCGTTTCTCTTGGTTTTCACGCATTTGGGTTCATTTTGGGGTCTGACCCAGGAAAGAGAGGAAGGAGAAGAAGAGGGAAGCCACGATAATAACAACCCATAATAATTAAGGAGAGAGAGAGAGAGAGAGAGAGAGAGAGAGAGAGAGAGAGGGGGGGGAGAGGTTCCGTACAGTGTTCAATTCATGAAGAGGGTATAGAAGGTGGTTCTAGGAGGAGAGATAGGTGTGTTTGAAGGTGAACAAGAAAAGGGGAATTTTTTTTTCGTTTTTGGGAAATTTTGGTTATAATGGGGAGGGGAAGAGTGGAGCTGAAGAGGATAGAGAACAAGATAAACAGGCAAGTGACCTTCGCCAAGAGGAGGAATGGGCTGCTCAAGAAGGCCTACGAGCTCTCTGTGCTCTGCGATGCTGAGGTCGCCCTTATCATCTTCTCCAACCGCGGCAAGCTCTATGAATTCTGTAGCAGCTCTAGGTTTGACTCTCTCCCCTCTCTCTTCTTTTGTTTCTTTTTTTCGTGTGAGATGAGATCTAGTTTTCTGCTTGGCCGTATGATCTGCTTGAATTCTTGATGCGCTTATCAGTAGTTACCTAGATTTTACTGCAAATCATGCTGGATTCTTTCGACGACTGTATAACTTTTCTACTCTCTCTCATAGACGGATGCCTGGCGAAGAGATTGGAATCGTTTTTCTTTGATCTGCTGTTAACTTACTGATGCAGATCCAATTTATTAACTGAAAGACACCCAAGTTCATTTTCAGAGAAAAGCAAGGCGTTTGATTAGACCGGTGACAACTTACCCTAGCAGACCATTAGACCAATGACTGAGTTCTCTGTCCTCAGTTAATTCATCCATTTTAGAGAGAGAGAGAGAGAGAGAGAGAGAGAGAGAGAGAGAGAGAGAGAGAGAGAGAGAGGTGTCCCAGAGTTGTAAGTGACACTTTCTATACTGGAGATTATGATGGGAGATATAGTCAAAATGGGTAGAATTAGATTGGTAGGATCCTGTGCTTGTGATGTTCTCTGATGGACTATAAATCTCTTATGCTCTCAATCCTTTGTGATTCACCTACGCCTAAAATCAATGGGCAGTCCTTAGTTTGTTTTGAGTCTAGTTAACGTACCATCTCGGTGCACCCATGTAACCGATGAATTCTTCTTTGCTCTCTTTAGAGCCTGGATTGGAAGTTATTCTTGACCCTTTCTTACATATGTCCTGCTAGAGAAGTGAAAAAGTTAAAGAAATAAGGCAAGCATCGAATTAATATCAGATAGGCAACCAAGAGTACGAAAAACAAAGGAAAACACCTATTTATATGTGGATCGGCCGTGACCAACTTCATGAGGCTACTTTGTAACGTTTTGTGTTTCTCTAGTTATGGCTAGGAAACAATAATACGAAAAAGTTAGTCTCCTATTGGTGGGTTTCCCCAGCAAATGCAACATCGCTAGTTTGCGGGATTTATCTTGGTCACCTTGTAGATCTGTACTCTTGATCATCCGAGAACTTAAATTTCATATTGGAAATTTGTTAACATGACAAAACTTTCTTTGTACTTGACCTCCCCAGCGAAGAATAAAAGACATATGCCAAATTGATTCTATGTGATATTCTCGCATTCAGAATTGCACAAGATAGTTCACTATGCATGTTAACTTTCAATGAAAGAGCCGCCATTGATGGTAGAGCTTATAAAATGAAAAGAATTTGCTTAAGTCAGGGGATAATCTTCTCGGTGAATGAATAAACCAGCCAACTTTATCTTGAAAACCTACTTTAAAGAACTAATGAGGTGACAACATGCGTACCACCACGACATTTATCAAGTAAAATCATTAGAAATTTAGTATCTTTGGCTTGCTTGAAAGGAAAAATTTGCTATTTCCGTTGTAATATATGAATTCTGGTTCTTGGTGCGTTGAACTTGAATTGCTGACTTGAGAGACACTAGCTCAAGGAGGCCAAGGCTGTGGAGAAACTCCTTTCGATCACAGAAAAGTAATGTAATTGATTAGCAATCTTTGAGTAGACAAATTAACCTATTGACGGAACTCTCTCTCCTATAATGTTTCCCTCAGCATGCTCAAAACGCTTGATCGTTACCAAAAGTGCAGCTATGGATCGGTTGAAGTCAACAAACCCTCCAAAGAACTCGAGGTACTAATCTATCAACTCTATACCTTTCGCATGTTTTGGATACGTGGACGCGACGCATGCACACTGACAGAGTTTCTCGCCCTTTCTATTTTGGGTTTAATTTTGTTGATGACGAGGTAACAGAACGCCTACCGAGAGTACTTGAAGCTGAAAGGGAGATTTGAGGCCCTACAACGGACTCAGAGGTGATGAGTTATGAACAGTGAATGAGCTTTCACTTGTACAAGACATTATGTGCGTGCATGGTTTTACCTAATCTGGTCTAATTTTGGAGCCCGTGTCGTTTGGCAATTTTTCAGAAACCTTATGGGGGAAGATTTGGGGCCCTTGAACTCGAAGGAGCTCGAGCAGCTCGAGCGTCAACTCGAGGCATCATTGAAGCATATTAGGTCGACTAAGGTAATACATCTTTTATGTCGTGTTTTTCCATTACGTTGACAGTCAAAATCTAATCATATACACCAATTCAACGGAAGTACTAAACCTTAAAGGATCTTTTTGCCCGTTAGAATCACGTACTTCGGACTCTCTTTTTGATGGTTTGATCTTTATGTACTTGAACTATGTTATATACTTCGTATCAAAAATGAATTCTTCTATATGGGTACTGAAATTCTCAGGATTTACTATCATTGTTTTTGTAAATTTCTTTCTATCTTGATTTCCATCTCGATTTAATTGTCTAACACGTTATGCACATCATGTTTTACAGACTCAGTGTATGCTCGATCAGCTTTCCGATCTCCAGAACAAGGTACGAACTTTTGATAAGTCGAGAACACCGATAACTGAAGTAGTCACAATGTAAGTAAAACTTTCCTTTTTCTGCAATCGCAGGAACAATCCTTGATGGAAGCGAACAGAGCGTTGACCCTCAAGGTTAAAATTGGTTCTTGGCCCTGCTACAGATCACAAAGAAACTGACTTAAGAGTTTTTTCTCTAAGATTAGCTTTATCTATCCATAACTACAATTTTGATTTCCTCTTTTTCTTTTCCCCTTTAATTTAGCTGGATGAAGTTTGTGCAAGAAATAATCTTCGACCGCCATGGGGGGGTGGCGATCCAAGCATGACCTATGGTCAACCGCACCCACAACCTCAGGAATTTTTCCAGCCTCTTGAATGCAACCCCACCCTGCAAATCGGGTAAGTTTAGCGAGCTCAATCTCGACATTTAATCACTTGTTCGTTGAGAAATTATCGCCGGTACTTTTTTCCTTGTACCTAAACCGTCGGTTCGGCATGCATGGAAAATCTAATCTCAAACGACGAAAATAGTACATGCTAATGCAGGAGCGTATGCCTGCATTTCGCATATGTACTAAATGTGAGACCCTATGTATAGAAAATCCATGGCCAATCCTTTCAGGATCAGGTGCGCCTGGTTATCGTCTGATTGGATGGGAACAAACACCAATCCCATTACCAGGATGGTGATCACGAGCTCAGTGCACCTGATTCTAGACCCACCTAAATATTTCTCTGATCGACCATATAAAGTGATATATTTCGATCCTACATTGTTCTATTACATGCACTTGTTTGGGTCTCGAAACACTTATGAATTGCTGCTACTTTCTGGAAAGGTATGATGCTGGGGGATCTGATCAAATGAACACTAGTGCAGCCACTCCAAATGCTACTCAACAGGCCAATGGTTTCCTTCCTGGTTGGATGCTCTAAGCCTCCCAGAACAACAATAAGTCCTCCGCACCAATCAATCCAAATTACACAAGTGAAAGACTCTTTCGAGTGGTGGGCTCCTTTTCTTCTTAATAGTTCATGATAACAAGCTGATTAGCCTCTATCAATGTAACTACGCAAGTTCAACATAAAGCAGCTAAAGAACTTGTTTAACTTTCAAACACCAGGCGGTGTGCTATGGACCTTAAATCCCCAATGTCTTGTATTCTGATTCCGAATTATAGCGTAGCCAAGAACTATGATGTAATGTTTTCAAATAAATAACCGAGAAATACTATGTCTTTGCTATACCCATTCAAAGCATGTGGTCTCGCCATCCGGGTTATTTCCGTCGATGATGCTTGCATGATTTGCGTGCTGTGTTCTGGAAAGTATCCGGCTCGGGTCACGAGCAGTGTTGGTTCTTCCTACCCGACTGTGATCGGTCGTCATGAACCAAAGTTTTGATTCTTCTCCTGATCGTTCTGAAGTCTGCTTAGTTTTGCATACCAAGCAATTTCATGGAGAGTCAGGGCATGGACATGACAGGCCTTTGGGCTCGCAAGACACACTACACATCGAAGGCCTTGCCTACAAATCAAAGGGCCTTGGTTGCATACACCAACATTATATCTCGCAAAATCAGCACAAAAAATCGTGAAAAATCTTCTGACAACATTCGAGATTGTAACATGATCTTTAAAGTCGGCTCCCTTTTGTGGGAAATGGCATCGCCGAAGCACGTACATGCCAGGCATATGTTTCTTTTGAATTGCGGCCACAATTATAGATAAGAGAATCGAAGAATCTTGCTTTAAGTTGATTTAGTGTGGATTGAAGAGCATTATTGAGGCTCTTTTCTATGTAACCTTTTGCTATCCCTCAACTTTGATCTGGAATCTATCTTTGCGCAATGGTGGTATGATGCGTGATTATTAGTCTAATGAACTGGGGATTAGAGGCCCTTTCTTTTTTTTAAATGTGCTGCTGCTTCCATTCCCACCAGTATGATGCTGTTACATATTCTAATCCGATTGGGTATCGGAAAAACAAGTGGGATTCGGGATTTAATCCGCTCGATGATGTAAAGGCAGTATAATCATCTAAAGATGCCTCACTTTTGACCGAATAACCCACTCACCTACCTCTGTTTTGGCAAATACCATTCGCATACCTGTACGGAAAACCTCACAGGGAAAAGATCAAGATGCCCTGCTCGCGGACTCAATTTGGTATCTTGCTCAGGGTTTGGGTGGTCTGGTTTTGCGGCTTGTTTTGAGTGTTTTTCGTGGGTTTGAGAATTTAGGATGTGGAGATGAGCATTTTTGAAAGAAAAAAAAAAGTGCCCCTTTTTGTAAATATGGACAGTAAAATAATTGATTCGAAGGTATACAAGTGATATTGGGTGAAATGTGAGGTGGGTGTTAAAAAAAAGTATCGAAAAGATAGATTTGTAAAGGGATAATGACGCAAACAGTCCATGAACTTTAGCTCAATATGCAATGTGATCCCTGAACTTTTAATTTGTTCATTGTAGTCCCTGAACTTTAACCCAATGTGTAATGTGGTCCTTGAACTTATAATTTGTTCAATGTCATCTCTGAACTTTTGGTACATGTTCAATATAGTCCTTGGACTATATAAAAATATTCAATGTAGTCCCTGAACTTGATTCAATGGAAGGACTACATTGAACATTTTTATATAGTCTAGGGACTATATTGAACATGTACTAAAAGTTCAGGGATGACATTGAACAAATTATAAGTTCGGGGACCACATTACACATTGGGTTAAAGTTCAGGGACTACAATGAACAAATTAAAAGTTCAGGGACCACATTACATATTGAGCTAAAGTTCATGAACTGTTTGTGTCATTTTTACTTTTTTTGCTTAATTATCACTTCATAAGCTCTCTTGCGCTCATGATTTGAGTGGCTACATGTAATTTCTCATATCATAGGTGGAGCATGTAGAAACCTTGTCTGAGTAGGAAGACAAAGAAAATTTGTACTAAGATGCCCAGCTTGGGAGGGGTGGGATGGGATATAGGAACTTCATTTGAAATTTTGATAGATTATAGTGTAGATTTCATAAAAATTTGCACCGATCACCAAAGACCGGCAGGGACAACTAAGATTTGATACTGATGGAGAAATTGTCCAATCGGTCTTAATTTTTATTTATGAATGTCAATTCAGTCCTAAACTTTCCAATTTTACCAATTTAATCCTAAACCTTTGTACAAGATCTTGTGTTTTGTCATTAACTATTTGCAAGACCTCATCTCCCGGATGGAAAATGGCATGCGAATTCGGTTGTTCGATGGCCTATGAGGGCAATTAAACTCGGGGGGCTCGTTTGATAGAATTGAAAAAATAAGCGATGAAAATTAAAATACGGAATATCAAGTGCTGCAGTATTGAATCCGAAAATGAACATGTATGAATTTTTTAGATCTTCCGGTTTATGCTTAGTCTTAACATCGATTTTCTTATAATAACAAAGATTAAGTGTATTTTAAGCTTTCCATTGGCGAATAAATATGGTAGTGTAAGTATCGAGGACAATGTAGTTGACCAGCTAACGATAGGGACATCGTCCGTTTATAAATCTCAATCGATCGATGTGTAATTGGACGTTCATTTCAAGTTGCTGCCATCAATTTCTTCTGTCCCCATATACATTACGAGAGCCAAGAGTTTCAATTTAATTATTCTTTATTAGATGAAACGAGCACGTCTGTGATTAGAAATTGTCTAACATAGGTCATGCTCGTGCTTTATTAGATGAAACGAGCACATCCGTAATTAGACTAATTCAACCTGGATTATGTACACGTGTGACGATTGTAAATTAGGAAGGATCATCCTTAAATGAAGAAGACATACAAAATAATAATTAGACAAAAATTGATTTCAAGAAATAAAGAGGGCGCTTGACAATATTATTTAAGCGAAGGTTAGGATAATTTCTCGGAAATTACATCCGATTTGTGAATAAATTACCCATGAGACTAATACATATATAGTAAATCCAGATTATTTGCGAGGAAATGGAATAATTCATTCTTTCTATTTTGGTAAATTTTTTCACCTGATGACGTTATAAATATATAAAGGATTAATTTCGAGGATATCCCAATGGGCTTCGTGAAGTATCTCGCCAAAAGCTAAGATGAATTTTAAAAGGGGAAGGGAAAAACCGATTAAATTAGGGTTTTATAGGGATTGGATTGTTCTTATTATAGTTCATGTTAGCATACCTCATTTAGGTTTCGCAAGGCCTTCGAGTGATCAAAAGTTGTCTCCCCTTTCAAAACAATTCCATGGAAAAAAATCCCCAAATTCTAGGGATAAAGTTTTAAAGCTAAGTAGGCCCTGAGGCTCTGAATAGCCGTCGCGTTTTCGAGATGTATGTCCACTTTTACCGATAGAAATCCCGTTCAAAACGCGCGCTCCCCGAGTAGGGGGGAAAATAAAAGTTCCGAGATATGCCCCCCGGCCTGCTCGGATCCCCCCCCTTCCCTCACGTCTCGTTGTCTTTCATGTTTCTGGCTGTATATTTAGGTTCGGGAGAATGGTCCCCCGTCGAGCCGCATAGGGCAAAGATTGTAACGAGGTCCCTTTCTAGTACCATTACAAAAGATTAAAGTGGCAATGTTTGTGGCCAGGTGAGTACCATGGTCCCCCGAATTTTTATATTTTTGGGACTAAAGAATGGGAAAATATCCGCATAAACTAGAGGAAAAAAATCGCAAGTACGTACTAGAGGGACCACTATATCATCTCTTGAGAGATTTTAATATAGCAATACAGCAAAAATCCATACTCCAACGACAATTATATTAATAAACAATCGACATTCTCATTCTTCTAAGAATTTGGACCACAAGAACGTCATGTGCAGTGCATCATAGTCCTCAATCTCTATAAGTTCGTATCATATGTATTTAATTGGAAAATTGGTCCTAATCTTTTTTTTAACCTTTAGCGGCATTTTGGACATCCTAGTAAAACGACAGCTTTTCCTTCGAATCAATCAAAAATTATGTCACTAAATTCAAGCCTAAACGGTTTATTTATTTGTTTATTTTTGTTTTTCCAGTCATAGCCATTTGGCACCGGAATAACCTTTACGGTACAAGTTAGAGATAGAGTAGCCTTGTAGCGTGCCTTTCTTGGAGTAATATTTTCACTTTTTAAAATTTATTTTACCCATAAAAATATATATTCTTGTGGTGAATTATATTTTAAAAATCTATTTTTTTTATTCATGGATTGAGAAATTAGTTAGTTTCAGTAGTAAATTACACACCAATGAGGCGTTAAACTTTCAATTTGCTGAAGTTACAGATTTTGCTAGCTCATGTATCACAAAGGACTTCGATTACAAAGAAAATTACGCCAGGAATTCATCTAAGTGAGAAGTATCGTGTAATCTTGACAATAATATCGGGGTGAGCCAACATCAAATTATGAAAATAATTGGGACCTATGCTATTACTGAAAAACAAAGATAGTTTTCGAGGAAGTCTTTGTTAGGTTTTAAAAAGAAGAAAATCTTATTAATATGTTGAATACTCGCGCCGTGTTGTTTTTCTTTTCCTAACAATATATTTGCCATGTTAATCATAGAATTTGTCTGAAACGTCCCAGGACACATCTCTCGAGTGATCAAGATGTTTAAAACGTGGTAATCACGTCTTTTGTATTGGTAAATCGATGCGAAACGTGATAATCTTTTTATCGAATCAATTTGTCGATAAACGGAAAGAAGTTGGTCACTACATTTCAAGTGAATGTACATACAATCATCGATGTGATAGAAAACCGGCTCAATCCTACAATGAGCATATTTCCCGAATTCGTGTAGGACCAACGATATATTTTACAATGTCGAATATATGCAATCCTCACTTTGTTTCCCCTTTTTTCCGCCTGTGGAGGAGGGGCTTGTTTGCATGGGTTTGCGCACTTTGCAAATGAAAACATTTTTACGAATTAAAAAAAAAACAACCCGAACTTGCCATCGTGACACATTTACCCGAACTTTTTTTGTGACACCAAAAACCCCGAACTTTGCTTTTGTGACACATTTACCCCAATGTATTTACTTCATGGGCATTTTCGTCTTTTTGCTTTTTCTTTTTTTTTTCTTTTTTTTTCCTTTCCGGCGAGGGGGGCCCTCGCCGGCGTCGAGCGAGGGCGGCCCTCGCCGGCGTCGGGCGAGGTTCGCCCTCGCCCAGGCGAGCGAGGCGCCCTCGCCCGGACTCATGCGAGGTCGACCCTCGCCGGCGTCGGGCGAGGGTCGACTCGCTGAGCCGGGCGAGGGCCGCCTCGCTCGCCCGCGAGGCGACCCTCGCCGGCGTCAGCGAGTCCGCCCTCGCTGGGCGAGCGAGGCGGCCTCGCCGATCTGGCGAGGTCGACCCTCGCCGGCGTCGGGCGAGGGTCGCTCGCCCGGGCGAGCGAGGGCCGCCCTTTGCTCGCCCGGGCGGGCGACCCTCGCCGACGCGGCGAGGGCCGCCCTCGCCGGATCCGGCGAGGGCCGCCTCGCTCGGACGCCGGCGAGGTCGACCTCGCCGAGATCGGCGAGGGCCGCCCTCGCTCGCCGGCGAGGGCGGACCTCGCGCCGGCGGCCAGCGGCGACCTCGCCGACGCGCGGCGAGGGCCGCCCTCGCTCGACGCCGCGGCGAGGCCCCCTCGCCGGATCGGCGAGGCCCCCTCGCGGAAAGGAAAAAAAAAGAAAATAAAAAAGAAAAAGCAAAAAAGACGAAAATGCCCATGGAGTAAATACATTGGGGTAAATGTGTCACAAAAAGCAAAGTTCGGGGTTTTTGGTGTCACAAAAAAAAGTTCGGGGTAAATGTGTCACAGATGGCAAAGTTTAGGGTTTTTGGTGGTTTTTTCCCTTAAAAAAACCCTAGTTGCCGCAATTAAATAACTTCATTTAGCAATTCAACTCAATCCCGTTTGTCACTTCGAAACGCAGGAGAGGCAGAATTAGTAGTTTACCTGTCGCTTTCGAGTTCCAATTTCTAATTAGAGTAAGAAAGGACGATTAGGGTTTGCTTCAAGGGCTATTTACACTAACAATCTCAGGGATTGCTGTTCTTGATACGAGAGCATAAACACGATTTGAACATAATACGAATTTACCGAGAGAGAGTTGAACTCAACACTGCGCGAGCTAAATACCCTTCGGTACATTTTTACCCGGTTTTTAATGAGAAAACTAATCGGGCTGGAATAATTTCGTGACAGCGCGAGATAACAACAATATGCCGACGTGCTACGAATTGCAAGCCTGAAACAAGGCAATTCTTTTTCTTTTCCCCTTCCCCCTAATCAAATTATCCATTGATCTGGTTCTAGTGAAGAATGCCTTTTGTAACTAGTTATTGGTCATTTGGGTTTCAATTAGACCTCAAGGTACTTCTCAACCTCAATCAAAATTATCGATTTGAGAAAAACTCCAGCCTAAATCGATGAAATCGCAACCCAAGCCAAACTAATGTATAACTCTAGTTTGCTTTTATTAGTTGTTTAGGTTATGGGCTATTAGGTTAGGCCGATACATAGATGAGAAACTCAGCAATTGCGCCATGTGCTTCTACTATAAACGAGAAGCGGTATCATAAACTGATGTACTAGATCGCGTCAATCACACATCAAGAACTAACAAACGAAAATCATCTATACACTAAAATACAGCGAGACCCGCGTCATTTGCAAATCAACAACACGTTATTTTTTGAACATATGTACGTGCACATCCCCTTATGGAGATATGCCAGAAGCGAAATGGCCACTGAGCTTCAAATCGATGCAAGGCTATGCAAAAGGCCAACGGAATTTTATCTAGATAATGGGATATGGGAAGGAAGCAGGAGGACTGAGGTTAAAGGTAGAAAGCCCGTGAAATATGAGAATTTGAGTGCTCTCGAAGCATCACATTCACATTCGTCCAAATCAATCGCTTCTCAAGGGTTGACAAGGGAAAACCACGAAATTTGACGTGCGCGATTGACCTGGGCAGAGGCTCTGGAAGTCACCCGAAAACTTCTCAACACTCGAAATAGGAATAGATCGATATCCAAGTCGTGAAAGTAATTGAACGAGCACAACAACAACTGACAAGCGGTTAACTTCCAGGGTTGGTAAGATTGGCCGGAGCATCGGAAGATATCCAATATAGAAACTGGAGTCACCCGTTCGAATCCCGCCAACTGTGTGCAAACTACTGTCGGTTAGTGCCATCTGCATAGACGAACGGCCCGAGTTTGACATGTTCTTGGAGTCTCGTGGACCTCCAGGCACCGAGTCTCCACACTCGAACCCCCTATATTATTAAAAAAAAAAAAACCGAAGAAGGACGAACAGTTTTATTTCACTAAATTGACCAAGTGCGAACAGCGGCCGCTAATTGGCGCCGCATCTTAGTACTATCAAAAGAGTCGCTCAATCCTAAGGTAGCCGCTGGCATTTATTGATGTTATAAATGTACAGACGAAACCAGAATTGCACGACACCTCAATTATGGCAAACGTAGGAAAACATAGAGAGAATACGCTACTTACCAACTAGCAGCACTTATTAAGAAGAATTCTTTTTAAACCCAACATTCTCCTACACCCAAATGTATTTTTCTAAACTTGCATTTTTTTTTAAAAAGAAGAAGATTTAAACTTGTTTTTTTGGTGGAATTATTTTTTCTAGGATAATTCATTCATTAACTCGGTATATCATATGAGATATTAAAAGTGTTTCTAAAAGTTAAATAAGCTTTGAAGTTTTGCTCCTAACTTGGAGATATATATATAAGGTTTGGAAAAATATCCATCTGGTCGAGCTCGATATATTCAAGTGAACCTTAATACTTCGAGCACAAGATTAGTGCATTATAGAATTATTAGGAATCTATTACATATTAATGTATTATAATGATCAGTACAAGCACAAAATCCGATTTTGGGACCTAAAAGAGTGGACGTTGGGATCGTAAAAAGCTTAACACCTCCAAGAATTTTTAGGTTTTCATGGCATTGGATTCTCACAAATGTTTAAGATAGAAATTATCATTTAATTCAGTGCTTGTTAGAGTTTGTTATAGTCTGTAACTTGTAATAAAGATAAGAGTAAGTGTATGAGAAGTCCAAAAATTTATCGTGAAATGAGAAGTCCTAAAATTTATCGTGAAACTGCAATTCAATCGGACTTTTATAAAATCCAATCAAGTCCTAAAACTTATCCAATCAGTACAATCGATGACGAAGTGACATTTTCTTCATATATTTCAAGCACATATGGCGCTAATGTGTCGCCAAGTGGATGCCATATTAGAGGATAAGAAAGAGAGAGAGGCTTGTCTCGAATTGGGTTGCGTCGTTGCCCCACCTTCGTCAACGACTGGCAGTTGTTTTTTCTCTATTTATTTTTTGCCTTTTCGTGATGAGGCACCTACTTATGCTATTTCAGCATCGTATGCTCTAAAAAATTATTAAAAAATTATCACACTTTAAGGTGGTGCATACTTGGTGCCACATTAGTATCGCGTGCTCCTCTAAAAATATCACAAAATCTGACATTAGTATCCCCGTAGTGTAAATTACTTGTACTAATTTAACATTTTATGGGTTAACAGAGTTTTGAGATGCGCATGTGAGGATTTTAGGTGAAAGAAGTTCAACATCGAAGATGTGAATTAAGTGGAGTAGTTAAATATATCATAGTTGATTCATAATTCATTATCTTAAACGTTTGAGTGAATATGCATTCGATTTAGATACGTTGACAGGCTCAAGCTTAAGCACCCTCTTGGCAATCTTCTCCAGTGAGTTCGGACTCTTCCTATCAAATTTTATTGCAATTCCCATATAAAGAACGCAGCATCACATAAAACTCTCATCACCGTAGGAGTCGAAGGTCACGTATTCGTGACAAGAAGGCCATCACTTTTACCATAGAAACGATCTTAATCACCGGAGAAATCACCCCTAACACCTTTGCCGATCTTCCTAAATTGCTCAAAAAGGCGACGAATCGAAGAGTTCCATCAAGGACGAGCCTTTGTCGCCGAAAACAGGGGCGACGACATATGTTGGGGAACAATTTGGCAAAGAGAAGGGAAGGGAAGGAAGGAAGCCCCCCGACCCCCCGACCCCACACACAAGGGTTTTTTCGAAAACCCTTTCTTTCCCTTTCCACTGCAACATTAACAAAACGCATCTCCGCCCTGTACGGACGGGTCGATCTCTCACTTCACCAAGAACCTGTGGCCCAGAATGAGACAGAAGGACTGCTCAGTCCCTCCCCCCGCCAATCGCAACTCGACAAAGCGCCCCTCAGGGCCGTGCCCCTGTGTCAGCCCTACAAATCCCTAATCGCTATTTCTTCCCTGTTATTCCTCTCTCCCTCCCCCGCGAAGCCTCGCCGATTTTCTTTCTGCAAACTGACGTGAACTGCGCGCACAAGTGAAGCGGGGGGGAAAAAGAAAGGGGAAAGAAGAGAAGAGGGTCTCCTTCGTTGTTATTATAACTCCACTTGCGACATAAATAGAAAGATACCAATTAAAGAGCCTATCGATATCAGTACATCTCCTCCTCTCTCGCTCATGAGCTTCCACTCTCTCTCCCTCTTTCTCGCTCTCACTCACTCTCTTCAATGACATGGGGATAAAAGAATTTAGGGTTTCTTGAGTTCTTGCTCTCTCTCACTGTCCCTCTGGTGATTTTTTATTGCAGCTTTCTTTCTTTCTTTTTCTTCCCCCGTCGTTCTTGTTGTTGGGCATAGCAAGAAAGGAGAGAGATGGGAAGAGGGAGGGTTCAGCTGAAGAGGATCGAGAACAAGATCAGTAGGCAAGTGACTTTCTCGAAGCGACGGACTGGGTTGCTCAAGAAAGCCCACGAGATCTCCGTTCTGTGTGACGCCGATGTCGCTCTCATCGTCTTCTCCACCAAAGGGAAGCTCTTCGAGTTTTCCACTGACTCTTGGTTTGTTCTTGATCCGTTCTTTTGTTTTTGTGGGATTTTTCTGCACTTTTCCTTTGAAGTAGTGTCGCACCAATGCTTAATATCAGAACGTTTGCTTTGCCCCTCTTCATTGTAATTTGATTTGTCTTAAGAATTTGTAGTTTGTTTCCGTGAAGCCATCATCACTCGCAAAGGGGCAACAAAATGAGAAAGAAAAACAGCACTTGATTGGGCTCGTTGCATTCTGCTAAACATAGTCTGCCAAAACACCATCATACACATAGTGACGGAATTTAATACAGTCGTTCATAGTTTTCATGGATTCCAAAATTTTGAAGAATATTGCTGTTCATCTTTTGTTTCTTTTCTTTAGGTTTCCTTCACAAGCTTTGATCAAGCTGCTTTTTCTTTGATCCCCTCCTTCGAAGTGCAGTTTCCTATGAAGAGCGGTTTTTTCTTGTCCCTGCAAAACAATCTTAAGTGGATAATTGCAGCCTTAATCAATTTATTTGGCTGACAAATCGTCCGTTTGTCAGCTATTTTCATGGCCCTTTGTTTATATGACGTCAGTATTATTTGTTTTGACTACACATTTCAAATTATTTAATCGGCTTTTAACCGCATACATCCGGCTTGAAAATGATTATGATATTATTATGCTAATGAAACTGTCGGAGTAAAATTAACTTTGCCAGCAAAATCTCTTCTTTATTTCCCTAGAAAAAGAAATTCATGGATTTGCAAAATGGATTTCTCGAAATAATTGCATGTTATGAATGTGTCCGTATGCTGCTCTGAGTTTATTTCAAGGTTTCCAGAAAAGCTTTTCTCTATCTATACACATATATACGCATGTACTTTTTGTATGTATTCCTTCATGAGATTCAATTAATACTGTACTTCATTTTTCAAAGAAACTTCATCGACGATTTTTCTTTTATGGGTTGAAGCTCATTTTTTGTTTTTTAGAGTAATGACACCTAGTACTATTTTTAGCAAGACCTATGCCTCATTCGTTTGGCGAGTTCAGTTCCCTAGGCATTTAAGATCCAAAAACCATTAAGATTGCATGGTTTCTGTATGTATTGAGAATCTTCTTCTAGATCTATGATCCTATGACTGATCGAAATGCCTCAAAAGATGGACGCACTGTTCTTGCTATTTTCTGGGGGCAATAAAGATAATCTCCATATTTTTCTTCCTTTTCTTTTTTCCATATCTATGCACTTGCTTGAGATTGAACATTAACAGGGATTAAAAATATGGAGATTACTTGAAAAAAGAAAAAAACAGAAATAAGTGTATTTCTGAATAGTTTTTTCAAAAAAAAATTTAGCAGGTCCTCTTTTTGGAAAATTGAATAATCATTTGACAAAGACTACACATTCAATGGCAATGTGTTAACTCCAGGATAATTCTTTTTTATACTTGGCATATGACGATGCTCTTATTAGGCATGCATGCGCAGCCTAGATTCTAATCACTCCCCCAGGCTCACCTGATCTAGCTGCACCATGGAGAAAAGATTAGTTTAATAAATTGACCTAAAAGTTCTTTTTTTTTCATAATAAAGTAGCTTAAAGCAGTAACTGCACTTCTCTTTCTTCCAACTGATGTAAGATTGATATCCTTCGTTAACATGTATACATGATACTTGATAAGGAAAACTGTGCTCTCAAATATTCAGCAGATATGGAAATCTATACAGGTGCTAATTTTCAAAACTTATATATCACTTGCGTGAAGACATGCGATCATTGCCAACTAGCAGCCTGTTTTGCCCTACATTACCTGTGATACGTAAACTTATTGGGCCTCTGTTAAGACCTACAATATGATTGGCATCATTTAAGCTCATGCATAATCATCAGTGCTTCTCAATTTGCAAAATACCATTGACGGATCTTGCAGCATGGAAAGCATCTTGGAGAGGTATGACAGATACACATATGCGGAGCGACAGCTAGTGGCCACTGATTCCCATCAAGTGCAGGTAACTTTCATGCAAAAGAATTGGCCAGAGAGTTTCAGATTTATATTTTCCAAAACTTTTACATTAGGAATTTAATTTATCCTTACTGAATTCTTTTCGTTTGGCATGTTGTCATTGTATATTGGGTTAGCATTAATAGTCTTCTCGCGATGAGGGGTAGGAAGATTTGAAATATATTTTCCCGATGTTCTCTCTCTGAATTAAGCTTTTGAAACAGAGCCAAGAAAATCATCCTGAGATGATTAATTATATAAAATTCACATTTTGATCAACTTTAAATTCTGATATTAAGAATATACAGCCGTCCGACTTACTCTATGTGCGCATGCGTGCACGCGATTTTACTTTTGGAGAGGGAGAGGCTTTTTCCTGAAGTTTTAAAAAAATTATATGTTCAATTGTTTAAAATTGCCTTTGTGTAAAGTTAATAAAATCAATTGTTTAAATTTGTTTAAGAAAAATTCTATGGCTATGATGGTTTTAGAAAGATTGAAGTGTTCACTCTCAAACTTATTCTTAATTAAATAAAACTGAAAATTAAAGCTAAAACCACATTTAATGTCTCTTATGTAAATCTTTGTTGGTTGACCACAATAATCATTGTATGTTGTCAGTCCAAATTTGGAAAAAACAAAAGGAAAAGTGAAGGGGGCCGTCGGTTTGCACTTATTTTCAAGGAAAGTTGTCTATTCAGAGTGACTTCTATTCTTTAACTTTTGATTTTTTTTCTTGCCCGTACCTCTGAAACGTCAAAAATAATTAGTCTACTTTCCCATCAAAATTCAAAATATTTTCTAAAATTCCAAAAAGATTATGAAAAATATTATGTAAATCTACATCTTAATATAAAATCATTTGTAAAGTTTCAAGCAAGCATTTTACATTAACAAATGGTCAATGCATACGTCAAAATATCATAGAAAATGTTATAAACAGTCAATTACATCTTAGCCAATATTTTTTATACAAAAATATTGGAGAGAATGTTATAAGTAAATGTCAAAACTAACTGATAAGTGCAGGCATGCAAGCCCTAATCAGTTGGAACTTGCCATGTTCCCTCGGTTTCCATTTTTCTAAACACAAATTCAAACAAGAAAATTAGAAACTTGAGAGAACCATACGTGGCTACTTACGTACTCTCGAATTGAAATGAGAAGAAAGGTGAAATTCGATGAATAATGATGACGCCCTCATCGACTTTAACCAAAATGTATAGAAAGAGGGAAAATTAAGAAACGCGAAACATACACAAATTGATAAAGGAAACCAAACACTTATCTAGAAATATTTCAATGAAAATGAAAGCCAAACACTTTGTGAGAAGAGCCAAATGGACCAAACATTGTATAAATAGGTAATGCTAGGGTTATTGCGACAACCTTATTTACAGACAAATGTGGTAAAGCATGGTGATTATGCGATCTTGCTGCATCTCTTTCCAAACAAGGTTTACTAGAGACTCTTGATTTGTACCCCTAACTAGATCAGTAAAATCTATAAAAACAGTGTATAAATTAACTTGAACTATATGGATAGTGGATGACCATTAGAACTATATATGGCAGATATGTTGATGTGGCATCCATGTAAAGGATATAAATTGAGGACCTCATTATATGATCAATAGTCAATTAACCGAGAGAACCTCAATTTTTTTCCTAACTATAATGGCACTTCTCCTTCTGCACATGTGTTAGTTGATGCAGAGCCAGCCATTTAAAAAAGATATAGAGTTCTCATTTGAGGTTTGTGATATCTTTTCGTATTTATACGTTTGTGATAATCTTATAATACCCTTTTTCCCCCTCGCGTGCAAGCGACAAATACTGTTGCTACGAGTGAAAACCTCGAAAAAGAATTTTTTGGCATGTTGGTGTTCGTTAGGGGTGCACAACTTTAGTAAATTCAATTTCACAGAGAACTACGAACGATTCATGCGTGTCTGGTCGTAGGTGGGGATGTTAGGGAAGACAGATTGGTCTCCCACTACAAAGTTTAACAATGTTTGGCTCGGCGCCGTTTATATCTCGGTTTGTGTACAAGTGGTGCACGGCTTTTATTACCAATTTATATATATGGAAAGATTTTTGTCTTTGTTACTTTTCTTGGAGATCCCAATGTTGGATCGATTCATTGATCTGTACATGGTTTATAAGTGGTACGAAGAATACTAGGTCCGGTTTACAGAACATAATAGCAAGATGCCGGGTCTAAGGCTATAATTGTTATATCATTCTAAATGTTGGTGTCGACATGAATTGTGCAAGAATAATACACAAGAGGTTATGACATAATAGATCTTCACGTCGATCAAATTTCGAGTTAGAGATTACACGGAGTATTATTTAAAATGGATCTAAACCCCATCACGTAATTAGTACATCCTCCGGTTAAAGTAAAACATGAAAGATAAAATTGCAATATTTATTGGATTTCAATATAATTATATTACTAGCATGGAAAGTAATATGAATCAATAAGAACATGAAAGTATAATACAAGAATGTAAATCCCCCCTTAATAGCTTTCATCTATTTTTGTAAAGATATTTCTAAATAGAATGAATATATAGATATATATTATATATCAAAATAGAATCTATATATACGCAAATAATATATGAAAAAGAATTAGAGATGCAGAATTAGAGACTCACTTACATTTGTGCAGTAATCTATGTATTAAATATTCGCTAAAATATACCCATTATAACATGCTTATCATTTAATGTTTCTTGTTCATTTATTAAAATAGGAAAGCCTTATATTTTGAAAAATTCAGCCTTACTTTTGCATAAGTATTAATTTTTCATCTAATCACATTTAAATTTTACAAAAGAAAACCCATTATTCATAAACAATATCTGCATAAGAATTATAATAGATTCTAAATACACATAAAGAATATATGGAAAAGAATTAGAGATTTACTAAAATGACCATCAAAACCAAATTGCTCAATAATGTGCACGCGTGAGTGCGCTACATACCTCAACCTCACGCGCGTGAACTGATATGATAAATTGTAATGAATACTAAAAATTAGTAATTATATTCCTATACTCAGAAAAAGTCCGTCATGCCACTTTGTATAATAATTTTGTAAATCAGATCATGTCCTGGCGTTATTCTTCATATTCATTTCATTACTTTTGGGTTCCATATCTTCATTATTTGTCTGGAGTCAGGACCACCCTAAGGGGGATTCATTCATTTTGGTTTTCTTTTGTTGCTCATCAATCTTTAGTACCCCACCAACATGAGAAAGCTTGTCTCAATTCATTGCATTAAATTGACATATAAAAGATTAGGTGAACATTTAAGTCATATCATTTTGCAAGTGGAGACAATAATAAATGGTATGATGACATAGATTTTTATATATCGGTCTTTTGTGATTAAAGAACGTGCTAGTGTGTAATGGATTAAGGACACAATATGAGTTCAATTTCCTCCTACATGTAGCCGAATCAAACAGTTTCATGTTTGGTTGGATAATCCATTGCAGCCCGTTTCTTAACTGATCTATGAGTTTGTGGAGCATTTGATGAACTCGAGATTTATCTACTTAATGTGGGGTTTCTTGTCATAAAACAAAGTATTTGCATTCCTAGCATTACTCTGATTGCACTGTCCTCAAATAATTTTTTCTTTTCTGTTTAGGGAAGTTGGTCGCTTGAATATCCCAAGCTCGTGGCTAGGATTGAAGTCTTGCAGAGGAATATAAGGTAACGCCTTCTGCAGCCACGTAAATACAAGTGTTATTGCTTCATGCAAGTCATACAATATGCTACGCAAGTTATATATGTGTCGCTAGCAAACTTGCATGTCCCAAATAATAATTTTAGTATCATGAGGAATACTAGGTTTGCATCCGGTTTATGAATAGCATTGAGCATTTGAGTTGGTTGAGAAAATGATGCAACAATTTAGAAATTCAGCTTTCGAGAAAGAGAGGTGCCACTAGAAGGGTCAGGACCGGTCGAAAAGAATATCGAATAAACTAGGTTTATTCATGATGTCTATCATACATGAAAAAATCACATAGAATTTATTTCTGAACGAAATCTCATGTGTATCGCATTATTTCTTGATATGTGATTGATGTAATATTTTAGACTAAACCTACATAGTAACTCTTTGACTAGTTGGGCTAGGCACTTGATTGCCATTAGATTTGTGAGTCCTGTACGAGTCTCGTGCCATCAAGCACCCGGTGCAGTCTTTATCTTTATGTGAAATCAAAATGCTTTATACCCATCAGTGAAGTTGCTTGTTGTAACAAAGATCGAGATCATCTCAACTTTGGAGCGCATTGATAGTGACTCCGCGGCACTATCTTTTGAAGATCCGATGGAGACGACAATTCTACATCGCTAAGATAACACCTCCATGGACCATCTCTCGAGTTCGAATTCGAAGTTTGTGATGACCATGTAATCATTTCTATGGAGAGATTGACTATGCATGATGCCTCTTAAGGATATTGATTGACATAACTGGTCAATGGCAATATAGCCTCTGCACATAGTGATGACGTTGAAACATATACATGAACATGGTTTTGATCAGTGCAGAAACTTGTCTGGAGAAGAGCTTGATCCCTTGAGTCTGAGAGAGCTGCAGTATTTGGAGCAGCAGCTTGATACAGCTCTGAAGCGCATCAGGACCAAAAAGGCTAGGCCTTTATAAGTTTGCGTCTTTCTTTTTTGTTGAAGTTCTTTATGCCAATGAGAAATACCTTTCTTTTTTGACTCTTTTTCTTTCTTTTATCTTGTGCAGAACCAGCTCATGCACGAGTCGATCTCTCAGCTGCAAAAGAAGGTAAGAACTTGGGCTTCATGAGCGTCCGAATGCAATTTCATATTGTCGTCGTTGGTTCCATTTTGGATTGCATGCTGATCAATGATTTTGCTGGACTGCGGGAGGTTATTATACCTTTTACTATCCCAGCTTACTTCAAATGGTGAAATTTGTAACTTCATTGAACTGAAAAGAACATCTCAACATAACAACGTAGTAACCGAAGACTGAACATCGGATATCTCGTGTAATTAACATGCATTTGACGATTATCATGTTACTGATCAGCCTCAAGCCTAGAACGGTAGAACTCCATTGTACGTACATACTAATGCTTGTCGTGGACCTTTCTAATTTAGAAAATGGAGAATGCAAGAGACGTAAAAGCTGATATACAAAATTGATTTACAAAGTGGCGTAACAGTTTCTTCTTCACTTTTGACTAAGATTTACTTATAAACTGTCATATTATTCTTATAAGTCAATTTTCAGATAGGGTTTTTTCAACCCCAAGGCGTGATCATTTTTATGGGTAACGCATAAAGTTTGAATTGTGTGGGGCATATATATTTTGAGCACAACAAAGTCAATACATAGGTTTGTCGGTCCTAGTTATCATTTCAACAATAATATATAGTAGGAGCTGACAAATTGAGGAATTGGGTTCAATTTGTAGTCGATATAAACTGTCTACCTTGTTGTATTTATGATGTAACAGGAGAAAGCCCTACAGGAGCAGAACAACATGCTCTCAAAAAAGGTAATTATGCACACAAATTTCCATTGAATTGGCCTCATAATTTTCTAATACTTCCAATAAGAAATTGTTAGATGGTGACATTCTTTTTTTTTGTTGGTTTTTTCTTTTGGGATACTGGGGAGAAAAGCAGATCAAAGAAAATGAGAAGGTAACGAGAGAGAGTGGGCAATGGGAGGAGCAAACCCTAGCACCGACCACATCCTCCTTCATGCTACAACCCACTTTGCCTCTTCCTTCCCTCACCATTGGGTAGACTCTCGCTCTCTCTCTCTCTCTCTCTCTCTCTCTCCACACACATTGTTTGTGCATAGGTACAGTTATAACATCTGATAAAAGTAAAAATCAATTTGTCATGTCTCAAAATTTTATAAGGCAAAATGTTTATCTTGATGTGCTTGGTTTACTATGTGTTAGTGATACACGAATAAAGAAAAGACCATGAGATGGTAGGTGGAAATCTATAATGGCTTTCTAACTAGTAATCTGAATTCGGGCAAACGGTTAGATTATCTGCACTTTAATAATCTAAAAATTAAGATGATCCTGTAGTTTTGAGGAAAGTTATATTTGCACGAACTCAATCGATAGACAATTCTAAAATTTCGATAGTCCATGCCTTTTGTGGAGATTAGTTTTTACCTTACATTTTATTTGGTTAGTCTAATTTAGTAAGAGTTATTCACATTCCATCCAAGATAGCTGATGATTGTCTCCACTCTAAGAACCCTAGGACCAGCCCTTGTCCCCCATACATTTCTAGATTACAGGAAGCCGAATTAGCAGTTACTTGATGAGTACAAGGTTACGTAGTTTCTCCACTCTTAGTGCATAACTGCTCCTTAATCAGTTCTAATACATGCCAGATGTGCGAAATCAAGGGATAATTGTGTGGAGTCTGGACATGAGTGTTAGACTGGCCAGAACGGCATGGCTATGGTAGTGAATAGGCAAAAACAAATGTACTTTACAACTTAACATCATCATCCCATATGAAAATGAATACCTGAACTGATGATGATAAACCTTGAATTTAGTATTGACAAGAAAATTGACCATATTGACGCAGCAACACGTTCCAGACGAGGCAGGTACTTGGAGGAGCAGAACAAGAGGAGAGATCTCAAGCCCGGCTAGCCAACACGCTCATGCCGCCTTGGATGATACGCCGTTCGAACGAATAGAGATTCTCCTGGACATCAGCTTTTGCAGCCAAAAGCCTTTTTCACTTCACTACAAGGTTATGTTACAGCTCGAGTTTTAACTCGCTGCTTCCTATATATGACCCTCTATAATCGGTGTAAAGTTCTTGATGTCGGAACCACTCCTTCATTATAAGAAAGTAATTGGGTATCCAAATCCTCTTGATGTTTCCCATATCGCAAGACGTATACTACATTATGATAGTTCTCTTCACGCGAAGATCAGTAGTTTCACATAAGCCGAAGATGAACTTGGACACAGGTGAGATTAGTAAGTATGGTTTATATGCATCCTGCAATATGTAGAAAGAAATGAGGGTCGAAATTTAGATCACTCACAGTAATTTTACCTATAGAAAAGATCATGAAAGAGGCGATCAGAATGGTACTCCAATCCATTTACGATCCCGTGTCTCCAGACACATTGCTCTTCTGCTCAGGTCGAGGCTGCCACTTGGCCTTAAGCCGGATCAAAGAAGAGTGGGGAACCTCTCGTTGGCTTTTTGAATTCGACATCAGAAAGTGTTTTCACACCATCAACCAACATCGACTCATACCAATCTTTATGAAGAGATCAACGACCCCATGTGTTCTTTTACTCCATTCAGAAAGTCTTCTCCGCCGGAAGGTATAAAAGAGAGTGACTGTAGAAACTTAAAATATACAGTGTTTCACGTCTGAGTCATCTTCGATTAAGTGCAGAGTCGATCGCGACAACAGTAAGAGTCATGCTTTGCCTGTTCCATACCTTACTAATACTAGCACGGCTTGTTTTTCGATCCCGATGTTGACAAAATAGAGAAATTCATTAAAATGCAACATGCGAAATCACTTTCACGTTTCTCTACTAAACCTGTACTTTTTTCCCAGAAATACTAAAACCCTACTCAAATCGTCTCCGATATTCCTTCTCAAAGACTGTTTATAGCCAAGCATTGTTAACCATTTCCAGAGAAAGCCATAAGTTCACGCAGAATGAAAAAAACAGGCGGGGTATCTAATGAGGCTGAACGAAATTCTCCCCGCATTTTCATGATAATCCTTCCCAACCACTGCCATAAGTAATCAAAAGTAACAAAGCAGCATAGACATGAAAGCCCGAGTTGAGTTAGCGCACACAGTCGAGAGTTGAAGCTTTATCGAATACCGTCAGCAATCACATATACGCTTTGGCTGATCTATGTTTATCTGCTGGTTGACAGCTTTTATCAGACTCGGTAAAAGCTGAAAGTGAATTAACTAGTACTGACATTATAACAGTTACCAATGATAAATCACCTAAATACGCTAATTGGACTTCATGGTTTCTTTTTTATTACAAGCAATAACCCTGCCTAGTTGACCAGCAGCGATAATAATTGGCAAACATGTTATGAATGGTGAAGTGAACAGAGTCAGAGTTATCAATAATTTCAGTTCTTCCCAGCAGCGAGCTCTTCATCTTCAATCCCGTGATTCCAACTATCAAGTAAATCCTCCCTGTATAAACAAAGAGTGACATGGATTGTTACTCCGGAAAAGGGGAGAGGGAGAGGGAGAGAGACAGAGAGGCTCCAAAGTCCAGGCTCATGTCGGAATAAACTATTACTGAGCACCAGTTCTATAAACCAGATGACAGGTGCTCAGGTCAAAACGGAGTAGAACTTTTTCTCTCTTACAATTTACTGAAACTGAGCTAATTCCAACAAAACTACTACTCTCCCAGACTAACAAGGAATTAACCCCAATGTGTAGGATATAGTCCTTAGAAACATTGATAACACAATAAACTACAATTTTCAGGCTAACAATATCAAGTTTTCATTTAGTACATTTTAACTGGTAGAACATCAAAGAGCTAATAATGTAACTTTGAGGAACTGAAAAGGATGGGATGATAAACAAGAACACAAACAGTAAATACCTCAGTCTCTCACATAGGTGTGCTAAAGCATCTGATCCAGTTCTCGATGCAACATCCTCGATTTGAGAAGCATTTAATAATGTAACAGTGTCTGCAAGCCTAAACTCACAGAGTTCCTTCAGGGAACATGCATCGGTCAAGACAGCTGAATGACCACCACCAGCTGCTAGTTTACGCACTTCCCCCACACACCTGTATTAGACAAATCTCATTAGGAGAGAAGAATGCATGATCTGGCATTTAATACTTAACAATTAACTAAACTGTTTCATACCAATCAACTGGAGATGGATACCAAGAATAGGTAGATTTCTCATTAGCAGCTTGACCATAATTGTTATAACCCCAACCATGTATCCTTCCATCTCTAGTCGATATGAGCGTGTGGGAATGTCCACATGCAACAAGTCGAACACCATTTGGAACAACTACAATAGGGATATTTCGAAAAAATGTTTCAGAATCATTAGGAATACACGAGAAGAAACCAGTCTGGGGACCAAGGCCCAGTTGCCCCGCTTGACCACCTCCCCAAGCATAAAGGGCTCCCTGAAGAGTCAACGCACATGTATGTACACCACCACATGCAACATCCTTTATGTGTATCCCATCAAGGGCAACAACTCTCCTTGGCAACAACTCCTTATCCCCAAACTGAAGGGAGCAATGCCCCAGTTGACCCATGCTTCCCAGGCCCCAAGTGTAGCTGCAAAGTCCCAAAAGTTATCAGCATAGGTCTAATGACCAGTAAAAGTAAGACAAAAGGCAAGTGGATAAGAGCAGACACAAGATTCCCAAAGATTAGATGTGAAAAAGGACAAAGTTCTTTCACTCGCAGCACATAACCAGTTTTAGAGCAAAAACTGGAGTGCTTTCTAGTTATTCCAATAGCTCATCCGAAATCGTGTTAATCCTCGAAACGGGATATGTCTGTTAAATTAACAGATGCAATCTATCGTCAAAACAAATAGGGAGTTTCTTTTAGTAGCGGCTGAAATCAAACTTATAACTTGCCATAGATCGACCGAGTATTATACTCAGCAGAGATAATATCAAACAACAGATCTTTCGTGTCATTTGCTGTTTTCAGTTCTATATGACTCTTAGCAGGAATCTTCTACCAAAACAAACTACTGAAGGAACATATATCAACAGCAGTAATGAAGTTCTCTTTGGAATCCATGGCCAATTTACAGTGTATCCACTGAGAAATGGAATCCAATATTATTAGTTCTTATATGACTTTAGAAGAATGCAGCCTTAACAAGAAACTGATCAGCACTTACTATTAGGATAAGGAAAAACGGAACAACAAATTCAAAAAAAAATACTAAAATCAAATCATTCTCATTTTGGAATAATGAAGCTAGTGTAAGAAACTTGCACATAAGTCGCATCTGCCCTCTGGGATCCTGTCTCCCTCAGATGTGAGATTCCCATGAGAAGATTTTTCTCCAACTTTCAGAAAAGTTGTGCCATGCGAATAACCACAATCTCAAGCTTAAAAGAAGAGCCTATCTCCATCTAAGAACACTTACACCTCGCCTTTATCTGATATAGCTGCCGTGTGGTACTCTCCACATGACACATGGGTAATCGTCACAAGCTCAGGGGCTTCATCAAGGAACTTGGCATAAGCATTTATTACACGAGCCCCCTGAAGTCCCTCAGAAGTAATACCTCTGCCAAGCTGACCATACTCATTGTAGCCTGATTTTACAAGAACATTGATTAATTCTAATTACCATAGGCAGGAAAAGCGGAGTAAGCTCACATGTTCTCCACCTCGCTCAGCTAGTCGTTGGAAATGTAAATGAAGAACCATTCGCACTAACACTTGTATCAGGATATTGACTTGAAAGTTACAAGTCAATAATTTCTGAAGGAAGAAAAGACTTAAAAGGATAATTACCCCAAGCTTGCAGAAGACCTTCTTCTGATAAAGCCACCACATGAACAGCCCCACAGCTTACTTGACGAATTATCTGTGTGAAATGGAGCTCACCATTAAGATAGAATCTAATGCTTGTAAAATAAGCAGTAAAACCTGAATCGATAACCGTAAAGGTAAACAAGTACAGGAACAATCACTCAGAAGTGTCAACACACCAAGGCTCCTTTTATCACCCTTAAGGCCTCCAATGGAGCGCCTTATACAGTCTAAAATTGTCTAACAGCAGAGAATCAGACAGGGCAACGCATTACGTCAAGCCTGATATCTCCAACTCCAGAATCCACCGACAATTCGAGAATATTCGCGGATGTTACAATAAACCCCATGTAATGATTTAGCCTCAAAATACAAAATTATATACCAATTCAGGCAAGTACCAATTACGAAGGCACGAGACAAGCAAAAACTTAGCAAGCAGAAAAAATCTTCTGCCATCTTCTAATTTCTGACAAAAATCAACCTCCCAGAGCACTTTAAAGAAGGATAAAGGACATTCACATCCATTAATCAAGAAAAGGGAATAACAGAAAAACACTTTCTTGGCAAGTATTTTTTACTTCAATAGCTGCTAGAAACAGCAAGAATAAACGGTCCAAGAGAAGTTCCAAGGTATTCCTATCAAACCTCATTAAAATGATCTGTGTCCAGAAAAGCCCAACTGCCAAGCAAATTGGTCTCACAGAATAACAATCGACGTGGCTAAGCAGAGTAAAAAACATCATGAAACTTAAGGAAGTAAGATCTCTTACATACCTAACATCATGAAATTTTACATTTCAGTCAAACTCTTGGAGCAAAAACTATCACTTCATCACTCACTAGAACCATCACACAGTAACTTGCTCCTGAAAGAAGTCAAGACCGATTCTCGTGCAAAAGCTATAAATTTTCTTGCCCTACCGACAACCACATTTAACGATGATATGTGAATCAATTTCCAAGTAAAAATCACAGAGTTTCCCTGTTTGCTCAAATACAACAGGCAACAGAAACTTGATTAATCTGGGGAACATAGTTGCTGAATATGGAAAGACATCAATGGGGAGATTCTCGAGAAAGCAAACTTTACCAACATCGCTGCATAACGTAGTTCTATGAAGCAGACATAACTACTACTTAAGCACGATTCTATCCTCTCATCAACGTACCCAAAGAAGACATTATGGTGTAACATATAAACTTCATCCACCGCTATGACCAAAAGAAACAACTTTCATTCAACAGCTTCTCCACCTCTTAGTCTTGAGGAGAGCTTGTGACATTTTCAAGCTATAAAGCACACATAAGATGCAATAAGGAGTGAATTTTTGTGCTATGTCATCAAGTTAAAGTCCTTCCTGCTTAGAGAAATGCAGTATAGTTCATCATACAAGAGTCGACAAATCTAACTTGAAGTAAAGACTAAGCCATAACAAGATATTGGCAACCACAGCGAGGTCTTGAGTCCCACCATGTAATCTGAACTTGGGATGAATGTCAAGTACATACCGTGTTTGGAGTAAAAGCTCCCCAAAATAGACGCGGAAAATCTGATCCCTGGCATGAACAAAAAAGAGATTACTTACTAAAGCCATTGAATGTCCTAAAGTTAGATCCTAAATTTCTCATAAGGACCGAAAGAAAGACCTGATTCTGGCCCCAAATCCAAAGTCTGCTTGTCGATACACTCCCATCATTATCACGAGGCTCTGCAATAGCAACAGTACAATGTGCTCCACATGACACAGACTTCACAAATTCCGTCTCTAATTGCTTGACCTTCTTGGGGAATTTTGTCCCTTCCTCTGTTCCATCTCCCAGCTGACCAAAGTCATTAGCCCCTGACAGCATATTCACATGGAAGGCTGTATTGTTAACACTGTAGGCACTTGGTTGGCAGATGTATAGATACAATAATTAGCGAATACTACACTGGCATACGATCATGATCTACCGATACAAAAATCACGCTTCAGAATTTAAAAGAGAGAGTACCCGGTTACATTCCAGAAAAAAACATAATATAATTATTAGCTTTACCCACTGCCAAACATGAACTTATGATAAGGAGATTGTGAAATCACGTGAGGACGGACACACAATTCTTAAAAAAAAATACAAGATTCAAGCCTTTTTTACTTGCTTATGTCTCCCCGAAATGAGAGACAGAGATATTGCAAAATTATGTACGTAAATGGGCTCCATCAATGTGGGTTACTTCGACCGTTTTATAATTCAGTTATATACCACGATCTAAGTAGGTAAACCAATTATCTACGGCTATACATCGTAATTAAGATGAAATCATGTTTTCTTATGAGTCAATCCTTCAAACTCAATAGGTAAATCTATCGTCAAACTATAGCCAACTCCAGGGCGAGGATTAGTTAGTTGCTGTCCTGCTGTTGCCCGGTTCCTTTCGAATTTTAGTCGCCGCCCATCAAACTAATACGCAGATTCGACAGTACACAAGAGGGGATGCATCAAATGAAGGGAGAGAGTAACCCCAAGTAAAAAGAGACCCGTCCGAGGCGACGGCGGCGGTGTGCTCGCGGCCGCACGCGATGTCCAGCCACCGCGAGTTGCCCCCCGCCGGGCACCCGAAAAGCTCGGGCGGGAGCTGCTTCGGGATCCTCAGCTGACGCTCCCTGCCCTTCCTGCCCGTCTGCCCGCACTGGTTGTACCCCCACACGTAGATCGCGCTCTTCGTGGAGAAGCTGACGGCCCGAGTATCCCCAAGCACGCCGTCGACGTCCATGGATTCCTCGACCCAGGACCCTAACACCGCACGATCGCAGAGACCCACAAAAAAAAACAAAAAAAAATCAGCAGCGCAATCGACGCGTACAGGCGCCGCGGCTCCGGAGGAACACACCGACGACACCCCAATTCGTCCTTCCGGCGGAAAACCGCAAACAAACGAACCGGATCGACGAACGACGAAGCTGCTTCTTCGAAGCCCAAAAACGCGGGCGGCTAATGTCCACCGAAATCGCGGGAAACGAAGGAGATGGAATTGGCGAGAGCCGCGTACCTGGATCAGGAGGCAGAATCGGAAGAAGAAGAAGAAGAAGAAGAAACGATGGAGGAAATGCGGAGGAGATCGAACAACGTTGACGTGTCCCACGTTCGAGGAAGTTGGAAGTTTGGGCGGAAATCGAGTGTTTCGCGGCCCACGGAATCGTCCGTAAGCTCGGCCCAAAGCTGAACGGGGGAGACGGGTTTTGACCGTCGAGGACCGGGCCGGTTCGATCCGGGAACCGGTCCCGAACCCGCCTTACCCGGGGCGGCCGGTTCAAGGGAGGTTCGTGAGGAAATCGGTCGGGCTTTTCGGTTCCAAGAAAGAGAGCCGGTCGTAGTTGATTCGGTTTCCGGTTCGATACCGAATGGCCGTTCTCTTCGAAATCTTGGATCGGGAACGGAACCGATTTCAAACCGATATACATTTTTATCCTAAATACATTATTTTACTCTCGTTTTTTTTAAAAAACAAAAAAATATTCATTGAAATTGAATATGTGTGTGACATATTATTATTCAAGTAGTAAAAGTTGTATGCGTGTATGGTATATATTGAAGCGAAATAAAAAGAAACGCCAAAAAAAATGCCTCGACTTGTTCTCAGGTCGAGGATCCGTTCCTTATTTCAAATCCGTATAGAGAGGCTAGAAACGCATATGCGAAAAAAAAAAAATACAAAAACTTGAAAATCCAATCCGGATCGATCGGACCCAACCCGAAGTTCAGCTCGAATTATTTGAAATTCGGATAGAGTTTGGAAAAAGGTAAAAAAAAAATATTACGCGCTCCTGAAAATCTTATTTTAATGAAATAATAAATCTGATAAAATCCTTTTTTTGAACAATTTTCTAATATAATTTCCCTCTTTCTTTTTTTCTTTTCTCTTTTTGGGCCTCGGAAATTTCGGGGCGGTAGGTAAGGCGACGACCCACGAGGACGTCAAACCGTCGAAGTCCACCATCGCGTTGGTTCGTCTACCTCCCCTCCTCGGAGCAGCAGCTCCAAGATCGTTCTCGCCATTTTCAGGTCGACCCTCTTCTTCATCTCCTTCTCTTTTGCTCGCGCCGCTTCGTTTTGTTGCAAATTCATTGGTTGGATCGACCTTTTCTGCGGTCGCCTGCCCTGCTAAAGGTTCGATCTTTTTCCTGCTGTTGATCGGGTTGGCACGGGCTGTCGTGTCAAGTTTTTTTGCGGGTCTTCGTTTTTTTGGCGGTCGAACGTGAAATTTGCCCTCCGAGGACTCTGTGAGCTCCGGTTGTTGAACATGGGTGTCGGTCTGGATTGCGGATATAAGAGGGGAAGGAGAAATTTTGGGTCGGTTGTGTTGAGGAGGAGTTGCAAAGGTTCCTTCATTTCCTTTGGACTCGTGGGTCTGGTATGAGTAGAGTTAGTCAGGCAGCTTGACTTTTATCATGTTTCACCTGCGGGTCTCGAGAAACATTCGCGCCGCCGCCGTATCTTCGGGGAAGGCGACTGTTGGGTGGTCACATCTTTGATTTCTGCTGGAAAAAAAGGGAGTCCACCTCTGAAATGCGGATTCTCCTTTGCCCAATTCCCTTTTTTCTCCCCCATTTCGAGTCTACGATCATCGGGGTAGATAATGAGTACCAAAGTCGTTTTTCCAGGTTAGATATAATCGTTGTTCATTTTTCGCAGTCAGGTAATTGATTTCTTGGATAGACGTAGCCTATGCATAGGGAAAACAGTGATGCCAGGGATGCTAAGATGGTTTGTGAAATTAGTTAGCCGAGTGATGTGGAAAACTGTGACCGACCTGATATTCAAACTGGCGAGTCATATTCGAATGCCTAAAGGAGTCTGCCGCATTTCTTATAGTAAATCAATTTTGTAGACAGTATAATTAGTTAATTAATTAAGGAACTCACTACTTTTGCTCTGTCCTTCAAATGCTTGCTTGCGATGGCTAGAATATTTATCAGGAACGATTGCCAATATTTGAGCAGGAGTAGAAACAACTTCTTCGTGATTGCAGTGAAATTGAGTGGTACCCTGATCACAGATTAGATGTAATCTCCTTGCCTAGGAATTATTTGTGTTTTCCTCTGCTTGATAATTTTGAAGCGGTTGTCTCACAATAAAGAGTCTAGTACTGATGCTATCCAGGACAAATAGGAATCTGACTCATCTATGTTATCCAGAATACCTGCTGATCAGTGAAGATTATGGCTGAGTCAGCTGATAACGGTGCTGGGAAGAAGCTTATTCGAATTGATATTAGTTCAGATACTGTTTGCCCGTGGTGCTGCGTAGGCAAAAAGAATTTGGACAAGGCTATAGCCATTGCAAAGAATCAGTTTGATTTTGAGGTTCTCTCTCTCTCTCTCTCTCTCTCTCTCTCTCTCTCTCTCTCATTTGCACATGTGCATGTGCACGTGTGCCTTTTCACCACGGTGCATTTCCATTCTCACTTAGGTCTCATTGGGCCTGCAGATCAAATGGCATCCATTTTTTCTGAATCCATCTGCCCCAAAAGAAGGTGTCAACAAAAAAGAGTATTACCTGAAAAAGTTTGGATCTGAATCGGAAAGCATGGAAGCTCGTATGCGCGAGGTTTTCCCTGTCTTTTTTTGAACATCGTAAATTTGTTACTTATGCAACTATTGATTTTATATCTTGCACATTGTGCAGGTTTTTAGAGGTATTGGATTGGAATACAACATGTCTGGTCTCACGTAAGACGCTTGTGATATTATGCATACATTGGATATTTAAATTCCCGAAGCAAGAGGTTGTGCTGGGAATATTGGTAACATATATAATATATGAACAGGGGAAATACTGTGGATAGCCACAGGCTTATATACTATGCTGGGACAGAGGGGCTCGAGAAGCAACATAAACTTGTGGACGAGCTATTCATTGGCTACTTCACCCAGGGAAGATATATTGGTGACAGGTAAGTTCACTTCCTGTACTAGCATTGAGCTACGTGTGGTTGTATGTGTCCATGCACACATTGAAGTGGATTCCTGAGCTTTGGAAAATCCCTTACCACTGCATCACCTCTTAAGATGCATCCTCTTTTCCCCTGTATTTTATATATTTGAATCCAAAGTCCTCTACAGCCATAGTGTCAAACATGCGTCATGACATTTGCCTTCACCTTTGTCTGAATAGTTTAAGCCTCTTCCCAAGAAAAAAAAGAGTTCGGGTAAGCTGATACTACTGCCCAATTTGTCTGGAAGATATACATAAGATCTGCCCGAAGCATTACTTTGTTCTTGATAGTGTTTGAATGTGAGAGTTAGACACAAGGAAATCATTGCTGGGTGTGCTGGTTATCCTGAATAATAATTGCTAAGCTGGGAGAGAGGGACCATTCTTCGCTAATCTTTAGCAGAACACCCTCATAATCTGAGAAAATGTCAAATAAAAGAAAAAAAGAGGCTGACCAATTCATCGTATGTTCTTGATTTTTCATTTGAACCATAAAGAGACCTTTTTCCTGACTTTACTCTATCCTCAGGGAAATTTGGTTAAGCGATACTTAACATGAAGCTAGAAATGAAGCTTTTTTCAACATTCTTTTGATGCTACTTGCTCGTCTTCATTTTAAATTTTAGTGCAAACTCGAACTCAACACTTTGTATAACCTGGATTCAGAGAATTCCTTGTGGAAGCTGCTGCCAAGGCTGGAGTAGACGGGGCAGCCGAGTTTCTAGATAATCCAAACAGTGGACTGCAAGAGGTTCTCTCTCTCTCTCTCTCTCTCTCTCTCTCTCTCTCTCTCTCATTGTTGCTTCACATTCGAACATAGAGATCAGGAGAGAATGCGTGTCTAATTGTGTAGAATATCTTGAAGGAGCTTTTCAGAATTAAAGATTCATTTCTCTAAGCTGATTTGGGAAATTATTATCTCCATTTTCTATGAATTTTTCAATGATCCTTTACTAATGTTGAAGTTTGCTGCAGTTAAACTCTTTAGTTTTGGCAGCTGCCAGATATTTGCCACTGAATGTAAGAATCTCACGAACCTTTTAATAATTTTCTTTTGCTCCATCAAGGTAAATGAGGAGCTCGAACAGTACTCGTCAAACATTTCAGGGGTTCCGCACTTCGTGGTAAATTGATGCTCTCTCTCTCTCTCTCTCTCTCTCTCTCATATTTTGCCATAATTTTTGGATGACATAGAGATGACTTTTCTGAGATCACTATTTTCAACAGATAAATGGGAAGCACAGATTGAGCGGCGGCCAGCCCCCCGAGGTGTTCCTGCGAGCCTTTGAGGTTATCGCTAGCGGAAACTAAACGAAATGAAAATGTCATGCTTGTGTTTACTCAATAAATAAAAAACAGGTTGTGTTATCTGTTTTACTATAAATACTATATAGGAACAATGAGTGAATAAATTCTTCCGGTTCATGGAAATCTTGCTGGCCCTGGTTTTGCCCTGTTTTTGAGCATGCCTACCAAACACCTTGTTTCAACGGATAAACGTCCGCTTGTGATGTGCTTTATGGATATGCAAAACCGCTTGTCTCACATATGTGACGATTGATTTGCTCACATTTCAATTACCCAAAGCCTGGGACAAAAATAAACATCCGATCTTTTGCTCTCTTGCTCTCTTTTGAGTGAACAGAAAGTGTCGCTGGCTTTACTTGGCCGCGAAAAACTACGGCACTTCGCCTGAGAATCCACAGATATTCAAGCTGCTGTTCGCTATACTTTGACTTTACTACAGAAGCAAAGTCATGCGCTGGGACCGACGTTAAGCATTTCATTTCAAATCTCACTCGAGAAGCGACCTAGCAAACACCGAAAAAACAAGATGCACAGTCTTGCACGTTGCTCTACCAAACGCAGAGTTCCAGCATCAGCAAATTCAGAGAAGAGAACCCGCAGCGCGTCGGCGCCATTAAGTGAAAGCCAGACGTGGTTGGCCAGTACGCGCTTTCTTCTATACGTAGTATCTATCACTAAACAAAACCCAAAAATTGAAAGGCAATGACCTCACAAATCCATTTATCAATATGCACTTGAGCTTTCGCTCATATTTACAATTGCAGTTCCGAGCAGCATAACCAAGTCTAAACAAAGTATGAAGATAATTTAGAAGGAATATATAATGGGACTTTGAAAAGAATGTTTGAGAAATGGGAATATGCACAGAGACTTCTTTACGGTCAATCATGTATATTAACAGGTTCTTTTCTCTTCCCAGTGCTGACAGTATCCTCAACATGAGCATTCGCGGAAGATCAGGTCTCATCGAACACCAACACCTGTCAAACAAAAAAAGGTCCAATTGAGCACACGATTAGGCGAAGAAAACAGTTGAAATACCAGAAGAACATCTTCATTTTTCTCAACTGCCACACAAAATGGCACTGCCTCTTAATAAATATAGAAGACATATAGTGATCCCATAACTCGTGAACCGACAAAATCATAACAAACCACAGATATCAGTTGGTGAGAGACTACCGAAATGTTTGCAGCATGCTCAACCATAGAAGCTCATGAGGCTAGAAATGTACTAAAGTTTTCTGCGATTTGTTTTGGTAATTGTTCGATGATCTTTCTTTTTTATGACGACTACCCAGTATGGCAAAATCCCCATAAAAAGGAAAGCCTCCAATTATAAAGCAATAAGCTGCAAGCATACCAGCATATCCTGTGTATTGGTAGGACTTGTCCAGGAATTACTAAGGAGGGTATAAACCATTCAGAAGTTATCAATCCCAGCAATTAACTACTGGTACATGAACCAACAGGTGTATTTTAAAACCGAATAGAATATTTTCTTTTGTAAAAGGCTCTTAACCTGTCCTTAAAATGATTACAGCCCAATGTGCATAAAGCAGAGGGAGGAACAATCCCAATTCCTACCCCAAAAAAGAGATTCCCCAAGAAAGGTCCCAGTCTATAAGCTCAGAAAACAACAACATACCATTCTCGAAGTTCGTCGAAATGATTTTTATTCGGGACGATTCGAGCATTTGAGGCGTTTGGTAATGGCCCAAAATTTCTATTCCTGAAATAGTAAAAGAATAGAAATGCGTTTGGTAACGGCATAAAATTTCTTTTTATTAATAATATTTTAATAACATTTTAAATATTTTAATATTTCTTTCTTTTCTTTTTCTTCTCCTCCTTCTTGGCCATGGCCGTAAAATATTTTTAATTAATAATATTTTTATTAAAAATAATTTTTTTTTTTGGGCCATGGCCGGTAAAAAGTTTTCTTATAAATAATTTTTTATTAATAATTTTTTTAAAATATTTTACTATGGCACGTCTGGCCATAAGGTAAAATATTTTTTTTATAAATATTTTTTTATTAATAATATTTTAATAAAAAAATTTTATTGAAATTATTTTTTTATTTTTTTTCCATGGCCGGTAAAATATTTTTTAAAAATAATTTTTTTATTAATAATATTTTAATAAAAATATTTTTATTGAAAATATTTTTTTTTATTTTTTTCGCCATAGCCTGTCGTGGCCATGGCCAGAAATTTCTTTTATTAATAATATTTTTTTATTTTTTCGCCATGGCTTGGTCGCGATAATGGCCGGTAAAATTTTTTATTAATAATATTTTTTATTAAAATATTTTAATCTCGCGAGATACGGCGAGGGTGGCCTTCATGGACATTAGAAGCTATATTAAAAACCAAGAAAAAGAAGAAAAAAAAAAATTGATTCTCATTTTTGTTCCAATCAAGAAGCTACTTTTTTTTATTCTTAATTCGCTCCAAAGCGATTGGGCACAAATTTGCAAGAATTTGTGCCTAATCAAAAAATTAAACAAGCGGATTTTATTCTCAAGCGATTCGGAAACAAAATAACAGAATCAAACACTATTGGCAAGTTGCCATGCGCAGCCTAAGAATTCCGGTCGTGCCACGGTGAAGCAATCATCGGGGCACAAAAGTCACAACACGCGCGCGCATGCATGCATGTATGGATGCATGTATGTAAGTTTGCTGTCAGATCCACTAAAAGAATTACCTTGCCACACACAGGGCAGCTGTCACTTCTCTCCTTCCACTCATATATGCAACCAAGATGGAAATGGTGAAAGCATTTTGTCATTATTCTTGGATTCTCAGGCGTATATTCTGCATGTAGTAAGCAGCAAAAATTGATAGAATTCATCAAGAACATCGACAATTTAAATAATCACAACATTGCAGTGACATGTTTCAAAACTATAAACCGAATACAGATACTGAAGAAGCCAACTTGCACGCAATATCTCTGCTGCCACTGTCTGAGGTAATCATCAGACCCAAATTCCAAGTTCGTGAAAGTACTTATCTAGTTCCCACAAAAGCTTGTCATCATTCTCCTTTTCAAAATTTTCTCTAAAGAATTTGTGCCTTTGCCAGCACATTCCCAGGAAAAAAGGAAAGCACAAAAGCATACAGTGGTAAGGTAATTTCTTTCAGAAAAAATATCAAGTTCACCAGTAGATTGGATCTCTAAATAGTTAACAAGCTGCAAGAAACTCAACCACATCGAGGCATGAAAGTGAGCAAGTTGAACTCGCCTAAGATTATGTCTCATCCCTTTTCTCAAACTAACTCAGCAGTTCACGTTATTCAGTATTAGCTTAGCCCGCTAATAATTGTTGGCTCAATAAGCAAGCAACAAGCAACCAATCTTCTGATGCAAAAAGTTTTACCTTCAAGACATGTCGGACAAACATCTTCCTCCTCTGATGTCGTATAAATATGCCCAATATCAGCATTTGCTTTTGCTGAGGAAGGTCTAAGTGAGGTCTTATAAGATTGTTCTTTAAAACCTTTTTCATGTGCATAGTTAGTCCATTTGCCTTCTGAGCAATTATTATCCGATTCCCCATCCGTATCACTTCTAAGAGGTTCTGATTCCTCATTGGCATGACTTGAACCCTTCTCGTGCATTGGAACCAATCCCTCCCTCTGCATGCATAAACGTCTTGGCTCTGTATCATAGGGCAAAGGCCTTGGAGGAGAGTGGTACATGTCAGAAAAATAATTGTCAGGTGACGCTGTAGAAGTCATTGTGGATGCTTCCTGAATGGAAGAAGGGATGGCATGAATCTCCCTTCGAAATAGCATTGTGTACTGCACATCAGGACAACAGAGTGTCAAAATACATGACCAAAATGCGGAATGCAGTTAAAATATCCTCTTCAAGGTAATTATTTTTATTATTGATTGACGTTCTCATCAAGGCTCAGCATAAGATGTGGGTTTGAAGCTCAAGTATGCACAACTCTATCAGACAAGTAGACCTAGCTGAACATAAATCTCAATAACACCGTCTACCAAAAGGAGGGAACCTGGTATTGACCATAGAGCAATATTTCTCTGCAGTAACTAAATAACTGTTGTCAGCGTTACATTGTCCTCTGACCGGTCCTATGCACGCTCTCTCTCTCTCTCTCTCGCTCGCCATGTGTCTGGTAACAGGCAGCAAGAAAGCGCTCTTAACCATATACCATGAGAGTTTCGAGTATCTCGTTACTACATGCTTATTCCCAGTACAGTTAATGATGAATATTAGACTAAGTAGACATTAGAAAGCCACATAATGCCAATGGGCAATAAGAGAGAATCCAAGTTCTTTATCACTATCACTTTTCCTCCCCTTGTTGTCATTTGGACCATGCTTTCCAATCTGACTAATGCCACAGAACATAATGAACTGCCAAATCCACTGGAACAAAAAACTTGACCCCTGGTCAATCTACAATTGTAGAGGGGCACTTCGATAAGGCAACATAAGAGCAAGGGCATGAATGCAGGCAGATTTTAACTGAACATGTATATTTTCAGTTCTCAATAACAGGCTTGTTCTTGGCAATTAATCAGCAACAATTGAAAACCAGTTCTATCACTGACTTTTGTGGAGCTCATCATCCAAAGAAAATATACTCACTGTTAAGGCATTATAAGAGTAAGTGTGAACTGCAACATACCACGTACAAAAAATTATCGACCACGCAATTAAAGCAAATGCAGTTCCTATATGTAGAACTGCTCCGGAGAACATCTTCAAAATCTCGAGCTTGCAAGCAGCAACAGACGGATCCCATCGTGTCAGTTTCAATCCAAAACTGATTTTCTGTAGAAAGTCTTGATCCTTTTGATGAGATTCAAATATGACGAGTGCTTTCTGGATAACAGAAGCCTTGGAAGGAGAACAAACGAGCTGACAGAAGGCGAATGAGAGAGGACACTGAGCTCACAGAAGTCGAGCCACCTCTGAGAAGCAGTACCCTCCCTCGACCAATCAAAGGCTCTTATATGCTTTAGCTAAATGAATGAAGAACAGATCCACCATATGCTTGAACCTGCATAAAATAAGTCATAGCGAATCAGATGATCAAGTTCGTGACAAAAAGGCTCCTGATTTCCAGAAAAGGCAGATGAGCTCGAGCAGAAACAAAACACATTTGACATACCCATGAAATAAAATATAAAGAAAGACATCAATCCTCGCACCCTTATTCAAACAAGTCAATAATCAGACACAGACCCAACAGAACAAGAGCAGTTTCTCTGGCAATATAGGTGCAAATTTCCACACTTTGCCGAAAACAAACAGGATTCTCGAGATCGACCACCACAACAATTCGTGGGCAACGATGTTTCACAAAAACCCGCGAGCTTGTCACGAAACGGACAATCTTTTTTGGCGTGCTTTCGTGGACATTAAGCAAGCTCGCCCTCCTCGCCTCAACAAATGCCATCGGAAAAGAGATTCATCAGCAAGAACGCCTTAAACCCATTAAAAAAAGAAAAGCGGCATATCCCCACCAAAACAAACATAAAGGCAAGCGTGACGCGCGACCAACGCTCGTCGGACCAAGAAACAATCCCAGCCGATGATCCAGAAAACAAGAAAAGAAAAGAAAAGAAAAGCAGAAGACGACACATTGACCTAAAAAGCACGCGACCCAGAAGAGCCGGCGAACTTCCGGGCACGTTTCGATCGTTTCGGCAACTCCATGCCCATCAAAAGACGGACGAGCAAGAAAAGGGAAACAAGGCAAAGGCGAATTGGAAGAGGCAAGCGACGGGAAGAACCAAGAGAGAAAGAAAGTTTACCTCCTGGGGGGACAGAGACAGACAAGGGAACGATCGAAGCTCCGAAATTCGAGGCCGATATCGGAATTCGGATTCGAGGTTTCGGACGGCACTTCGGAAATCGGGATGAGCCCCCCCTTCCTCCTCGGAGATTGTCTGCGTTTCCTTGCGTTTTGCTCTGTTCTTGTTTTTGGTGCGTTCTTCCCTTTATCGTTTTTATTTCCCCGGCGACAAAAGCCACGAAACGCTTCTTGATTACTTCGTTGATTAATTTCAGGGATAAGCGCACCGGACCGGAAGTACCGAAACTTGTCGCGAAAATGTAATTTGAGTCGTGAAGTTCTCAGAAAAGTGCAATCGAATCTTGAAAAATTTCATAAAGCGCAATCGACAGAAGGACTTGATTGGATCAATTTGATCAGTTTTAGGACTCGATTATATTTTCTTGATGAGTTTCGGGACTCGATTATGCTCTCGTGACCGGATTTAGGAATTTCGACGTGCTTATCCTTAACGTAAGTAAATGATGATGGCAAAGGATTAAAGTGATAATGTACGACAGGGAAATTTTTTTTATTGGGGAATATAATTGCAGGATATTGTATTTGCGTTGGTTGGGATTGTGGTGGGGGCACTGCATCTGCCATCATCCCGTGTCTGGCACGAGATTGATAGTAACATATAAATTAAATAATGAATAAGATAATGATTTTAAAAGAATCTACGTAATTCTCGTAACATCTCCCGCTTGAATCTCTTAGATACTGTATTAGTTCGAAATTAGCATTTGCAATGTTACGATGATTTGAATTTCTTTCGCAAGATAACCCCCGTCGTGCGAAAATTTCTTTCTTTACGATGATTTAAAATTACTCGTGCTAGGTAAAAGATAAGGGGAAAATGGCACGGATGGTCGCTGAATTTTGGCTCGATGTGCAGTGTGGTCCGTAAACTTTTAATCCGTGCAATGTAGTCATCGAACTTTATCTCATTGTGCAATGCCGTTCCTAAACTTTCGATTTGTTCAATATGATCTATAAACTTTTGATACATGTTCAATCCGGTTCCTGTTGAATATGAAAATGTTCGATATTGTCCCTAAACTTGAATTAATGTAATGATAACATTAAACGGTTTTATATAATTCAGGGACTAACTTGAACATGTACCAAAAAATCTAGAAACCACATTGAACAGATTAAAAGTTTAGGGATTACATTGCACGTTAAGTTGAAGTTCAAGGATCATATTGAATAAATTAAAAGTTTAGGGATTGCACTGCACATTACGTTGAAATTTATGAATATTTTTGTCATTATCCCAAACGGACGAATGCGAACGAGATTATCACGTTATCCTATAAATATATGTGGATTCTAAATTTAGATGACCTTCCTTATCGGGCAATGATTCGAGTCTATCTTTTGAAATAATCCAAATCACATTTTTTTTCGCTACTTCGTGCCAATCATCTCGCTTGCGCACACATAGCTTGGTAAATGGTACATTGGTACGTTTTGTTAGTATAAAAGAATTTATCACAAATATATCAGTTTGGGATTTTGGTTAAAAAATTAGTCTAAGGTATGGGTGATCGGTTCCCGGTCCAGTTCCCATCCGGTCCAATGGAACTGATTAATGTAAAAATTCCTCAACCAAACATGGTGAGATTCCCCAACCATACATAATATCAACATGCTCAAAAGGGATGAAGATGTATACTGACATCATTTTAATGTCTAAATAGCAAAAGTCAAAACATCTAAAATAAGAATGTAGCTCACGCCTGCACACACACACACATATATATATATATTGATCGGTTCGGTCTGATTGGTCCAGTTCTCACATTGGAACCTGACCGCCTGGACACCGATTCCATTTTTTGGAACCGGGAACCAAACTGATACTCCCGGGAACTAGACCAAACCGGCCGATCCGATCTGGTCCGAGCGGTTCCCAATTCGAGCGGTCTCGTTTGCACACCCTTAGTTTAGGGCAAATTTATCACAGATGTACCAGTTTGAGATTTTAATGGTCAAAAAATTAATTTTAAGTAAATTTATTACATGCGTACTAATTTTTGATTTTTCGTGGTATTAACCCTTATAAAAAAGAGTTATTTTGTTTGGGTCACTAGATTAGCTTTCGGCAACCATTTGGGCTTGTTGCTATTCACTTATTTATCAAGCTTATTGAGGTAGAGATCCAGGGAGAAAATTGTCAAAAAAGTTATAAATATGTTGTGTTTTTATCAATTTAGTCATAAATCTGTTAATTGTGCAAATGAAGTCCTAAATTTTTTCTTTTACATTTTGCAAATTGAGTTTATCCAGCCAATTTTGGCCGAAAATCGCTGACGTGGATGCCGGCCGACATTGACGTAGACACTTCTTTAACAATATTTTAATAATTTTTTCAAATATTTTATTATTTTATTTTGTTTTTCCTTTTTTTCTTTTCTCCTCTTTACTTTTTACTCTTTTTTTTTTTCTTCTTTTCCCCTTTTCCCCTCGGCCATTGTTGGGCTTCGTCTTGCCGACCTCAAGCGAAACCTCATCGACCATGGTGATGGAGGCGGAAGTGCCGGAGCCGGCTCTAGTGATGACGAGGTTGATGTTCTAAAGCAAGGAGAAGAAGCAAAAAACGCTGAGGTTGCGAGACTTGCCGGCGATGGTGATGACATAGGCAAAGCGGAGAATGATGAGAACGACGCCGAAGAGGAGGATGTTCTCGAGGAAGATCAATTTGGTCGGAGATGGCTTCATCATCGGAGAGATTGCGATCTAGAATCAAATTAGAGAGAGAGAGAGAGAATCAAGAGCAGAAGCAAGAAGCAAGCATAGGTGTGATTCAAACGAACAAATCCTTAGTTTTACAAATTTTTCTTTGGCCCTCAATCAACGAGACCAATGTAAGTTTTGCACCGATTCTCTCTACATATGCAATGAATATGCTTGCTTTTTCTTACTCGAAAACTGGGTTCAAATCAATTATGCCGCATTCTTTTGTACGTATTCAACAAGCGTCGAGCTGGGATGGTGCCACAATTAGTAAAACCGAGCCGTGAATACTAACAAAATCCTAAGTAAATTCCAACACGGTCCTTTAACCTGAGTAACTCTCGCGTACCTCACTGCTCGTTCCTAATCACATCATCCCATACGTCCAACTTTTCGCCCATTCGCGGCATATACACCTCGATAGGTCCGAGCAGAATGTCGATGCGACGGGCACCGCAGTCGATCTTCCGGACGCCGCCACGTCACCGCCCCGTGCCGTCGGAAAAAAAAAAAATTGGGATTCTCAATTATGGCGGGAGGATTTCCGGTTTGAAAAGAACTCTCTACGCTCCCTCTCGCTGCACAAACCGCACCCCGCGTTTCATCAAAACTTCTCGCGTCTCTCTCTTCTTTTTCTTTCCTTTGGTTCATTTTTCTGATGGTTGGGGCGTCGTATTCGTACGTGCCTTCTACTTCAAAAAAAAAAAAAAAAACACAGTGGGTGACGAGACACCGTCGTCTTCTTCCTCTCGCCGGCCGTTCCCCAAAGCACCTCCCAGTTCCCACCGCATTCCCTTTCAGATCTGAACCGCGTCGCTCCTCCTGCGTTTCCCTTCTCGATCGCCCCCCTGCATTCCTCTCGCTCAGTGTTTCGGCGTCGAGCTCAGGGCTTCCCCGGGGTACGTCGAGAAGAGCAAAGCTTCTTCCTTTCCGAAGAAGGGCCTCGCAAGCCCAGGTCTGCGCTACCTGGGCGCTTTTTGCTGAACTGGGTCGGGTCGATAGTTGAAGGGGCGTTGCGGGTATGCGGGATTAGGGTTCTGGGTGCTGCTCCATTGTCGGTTTTGTTGCGTCTAGAGCCTTTAGATTCGTGAATTGTTTGGTTTCTGCCGGGGGTGGGAAGAAGAGGGGGTATAGATTTGAGGGTGGGGCTCGCCGGGGTCGATGGCGCAGCCGGAGGCCATACTGGAGTGGCTGCAGAAGGAAATGGGGTACCGGCCGTTGGGCCCGTACTCCGCTTCGGGCAAGTCGCAGGCGCCGTCGGCCGACTCGCTCCGCAAGATCTGCCGGGGGAACATGATCCCGGTGTGGAGCTTTCTGATCAAGCGGGTGAAATCCGAGAAGACGGTGGAGAATATAAGGAGGAACATCACGGTTCACGGCGGGGGAGATGGGGGCGGCGGCGGCGGCTCGGCGAGTTTGGGGAAGGAGGAGGGTAGAGGCAAAGGCAGGAGGAAGGAGAAAGTGGGCGGAGATGGTTCCGGCGGCCTTGCGGACAGCAGAGAGGCTGCACTGCAGGAGAGGGAATCGGCTGCGAAGGAGGTGGACAGGTTGAGGAACATTTTGAGGAGGCAGAGGAAGGATTTGAAGGCGAGGATGCTGGAGGTTTCGAGGGAGGAGGCTGAGAGAAAGAGGATGCTTGACGAGCGAGTAAATTACAGGTTTGAGTTCACTCGATTTTGTTGGTTTGATTTTGTTAAATCTGGTAGCTGCTGCTACTTATGATGGGTTAGATACTGATAACCAAGTAAGTGTGGGAAATTGAACATGGCATGGCGCGTAGTGTAATCATATCATGATAGAAGTGTCTTTGTCTATCTGGATCACTAGGATTCCAATCATGCAAATCCAAGAACATTACCTTTCTCTTAGGTTTTATCTTCGGAGTTCAAGAAGCACCTATCCTTCTTTCTGTTATGTTTTATCCCCGGCTTTTTATTTTAACAAACTCCTGCATCCCAATGGTTTTGCTTTAAGAAGTTTGTACATTCATTGAAGATTAGAATCCCTAGCAAAACATGAGAAAGCCCCTGAATGCGATAGTTTCCTTTGATTAAAAGTTAAAAATGCACCAATTTTGTAAGAGTTTTAGCTTTTGAATTGTTAATTGCATGGTCACATTGTTTCTCCTGTAGGCACAAGCAGGTGATGTTAGAATCTTATGACCAACAGTGTGATGAAGCAGCTAGAATATTTGGAGAATATCACAGACGACTTCATTATTATGTCATTCAGGCAAGGGATGCTCAGAGTTCCATTCTTCACCCTTCCTCTGAGCTGGCCAATAGTTATAGCGGAGGCGGTGATAAAGAAGCTGTTTATTCAACTGTCAAGGGTACAAAATCTGCTGAAGATGTTATCCTTATCGAAACCACTCGAGAAAAAAATGTACGGAAGGC